CTCCTCCTCCTCCTCCTCCTCCTCCTCCTCCACCTCCCGGCCGGCAGAGGGGCAGGGCGGCACTGTCCCCGGGGGGGGGGGGCAGGAGCGAGGGAAAGGGGGAAGGAAAGGCCTGGGCCGTCAGCGAGGAGGCTCGGGAAGCAAGAGCACGGACGAGCGTGGCGTCGCGCTGGCCGAACACATGTAGAACTCGCAGCCCCCTCCCCCAGAAGAGAAGAATCGCGAGTGGCACTTCTGAGACGAGGGCTGCATCTGATGTGAACGCATCGGGAACGAACTACCCAAGAAAGTCGTGAGAACCAAAAAGACCCTGAGGGCGGACGGGCCGACGTGGGCGTTCCAGACCAGACTGCTTTGGAAAGTCCCTGAATCCTTGGAACAGGCTGGTCGGCTCCAACTGCATCCTCTGGGAGTCGCCTTTGCCACCTGCGTCCTTCCCCCGACAACTGGCCAGCTGGGAACCGCGCGTAGATTCATTACGGTATCTCGGCCCTGTCCCATGGGGCTTCCCAGAAACGCCACAGGGCAACGACTAGTGTATGATGTCTCGGCGGGTTCTCCGGGGGACAGGCATTGACAACAAGCGAAACATGTATACACTGTGATGGGGCCACGATTTGCCCCTGGGTGGTGGGCAAACGGAACATGATATAGTGGACATGTTCCTGGCTCCGACCAGTTCCAGAAACCCTGACTCACAAAACTTTGGCATCCGTCCTCGCTACGCTTTACTTCCACCACCTCGAAACGTCAGCCCATCCATCCTTCGATGGCGCGGCCCTCTCTGGAACGCCTCATGTGGCGTAGGCCACAACAACGTGGTGATTGACAAGATGTGTTGCCACAGCGTCGCGCACCACGTTCGAGGCATCATCAGGGACACGGGTGGGCGGATCGCGCGCAGGAGCAGCGTGGAATAGCAGAGGGCGACCGCGGAGGAGGTCGCGACGCAAATTCTTCCGTCGCGGCGCTGGCGGCCGCTCAGCCCGGGGTTGCGAAACGGGAGCGGTTCCCTCGTCATGTCAGAAACACTTTATATATAAATATATATATATATCATATATATATATAAATATATTACCAAAAAAAGAGAGAGAACAACAAAAAAAAAAAAAAAACGGCCGCAGGCGAACGCGCCAGCGGCGGGCGAAGTAGGTCGGGCCGCGACTGGCTTAAATTACCGACGGCTAACACGCGCGACTAGGCGGCCGCGGCGGCGCCGGATGCAGCAAGCAGCAACTGCGGCGAGGTTGAGGCTGATCCCAGGGAGAGCAGAACCCAGGGCAGAGCTGCAAGGAGACCCAGGGAAACCGTGTCAGAAACACGTGAAGCCCAGAACTCTCTGCACCACCTCGGCACTTCGCTTGTGCTGCCAGGCCGCCCCGCCGTCGGCCCCCCCGGGGGGGCCCAAGGCAGGTGCAATGGTCAGGTCGGGCGTATCCCCCTACAGGCGGATTTTGGAAGAATTATACAAAGTAGTCATGCAAGGATCAAAAATATACAGAAATAATCAAACAATCATCCCTTGCCTATTGCTTGACTGTTTTTGAAAATTCCTCCTGTAGAGGGAAATGCCCGACTTAATGCAATGGACGCCCGCCACGCCGCCCTGTGATGCGCGCCTATGTGTCGGGGACGGCGGCGGGGGTGCCAGCAGAAGCAGAAGCGTCAGCACACGTTTCGTAAGCTACCAATGGTCAGGTGCGGATGTCCCAGATCGGTTCCGGGCACCACCGCATCCCCGACACAGCATTCCGCTCATCCTTCTTCCGGCCTCCCCACGAACAAGCAGACTCATCCGCCTCAGCCACTCCTCCTCCTGAAAGAATCAGGCAGCATCACCGACTCTTCCTTTTCGTCGCCTCCTCCTGCCTTCTCCTCCTCCTCCTCCTCCTACCTCCTCCTTCTCGCTTCCGCCGCACTCCTCCTCTCCTCCGCCACTCCTCCTCCTCTCCTTACACTCCTATACTTCCCCTTCGCACTCCTACGGCTCATACCATGAGCGACTCATCGCTCCTCATTCCGAATCCTACAGACCGCTCACAGCCCTGCCTCAGTATCCCGTGTCCCTCCATCATGCTGAAAATAATCATCAGGGCATCATCATCATATGCACTCCCCTCCTCCTCCTCCTTATCCTCCTCCTCCTCCTCCTCCTCGTCCTCCTCCTGCTGCCCCTCCGGCGCGCGGACCGCGCCAGGGGGCGGCGCCAGGGGGCGGCGCCAGGGGGCGGCACCAGGGGGGGGCCACTGCAGACCCAGGAGGCCCGTGCGGGCCTCCGAGAGCCTGTGCTCACACCCTATGCTTGAGGGATGAAAAAACGACCCTACCCTGGGTTACAAATGCGTGGTCTGTAAACCTCCTGGGCACCCCCAAAGCCTAGAGCCTCCAGGGCGCGGCACATCACGCAGGGCTTACCCTGTCAGCGCACAGGGGTTTCAGCGCACAGCGCCTCGTAAACCAGGGTAGGGACGTTTTTTCTGCCCTTGATATGCTGAAGGGGCCCTGGGACACACAAATAAATTCACACAAATGAAAAGATTCCCCATATCTTCCCATACTTTCTGGGTGTCTGCCTTCCCCCCCACTGCCCATATGTTCCCAGATCTTCTGGGGGATCGACGATTCATTGTGTCTGTGTGTGTTTTTCTCCTCCTGGCATGCTGCTTCTTCGGGCCGAGGCCCCCGACGTCCGACGCCCGGACCGGCTCATGCTGGCAGAGCGCGCGAGAGGGGGCAGGGTGAGGGGAGGAGGCTGCCCAGAAGGAGGCTAGTTCTGAGAAGGCGCCGGCCCTACATCTTTAGACAAATAGGAAGGCACCAACTATACACCAACACCGATCCTGGGCCAGGATCGGTGTTGGTGCATAGTTGGTGCCCTCCGAACAAAGCCCGCATCTTCTAAGAAGCAGGGGTGCTTCTGAGAAGGCTTCCCCCCTCCCCTGCTCCCCTCTGCACGTGGCCGATCCTGGGGACAACCCCCAGAGGCCTGGACCCTCCTGGGGACCGGCTTGTCGTCCATAGCTGGTTTATACACTGGCGGCCCAGAGGACCCGGCGAAGGCCCACTGAAGCCAAAGATGGCAAAGAACCGTCCGTAGCGACTATTTCACGATGCGAGGCGGTCAGTGGGGCGACGGCGGCGGCGGCGGCGGCGAAGATGACCACGACGATGCGCGGGCAGCCAGCAGCCCCACGCCCGCGGCCCGCCCGCCGCGCGGTCCGCGTCGCCGTTCGCCACGCCACCGCCAAGCGGCGCCGCGCCGTCGCCGGGCACGGGGGACCCAGCCCCGAGCCACTCCATGATCTCCCGCCTTAGCCGCCCCGGTACGCAGCACGCAACCCGCAGCGTGTTGCCACGGAACTCAGCTCGGAGACTGAAAACGTGCGCCTGGCGCGACGCGCTCGCGCAAACGTGGACCAACACGCTTTGCCAACACGCAGCGTGCTACCAAGGATGCTTTGAACACGGCACGTGCTGCGATTCAGCATAGGCGTGTCAAGGCAGCTAAGTCTCCCGCGTGGAGAGCAGCATCTCCGTGTCGGCGCGGTTCTTCTCCTGGGCGGGCGGGGGGGCGGGGGGGGGGGAAGGATTACGCCGGGCACGTCCCCACACAGGAGGAAAATTCCAAACGGTACAGAAATTGTTTGGGGGCGACTGTTCGATGCCAACATGTTTCTTCCAAAATCCGCCCGTAAGAGGACATGCCCGACCTAAGGGGAGGGCCAGGTCGCGGCCGCGGAAGCGAAGGGGGAGAGGGCGTCGCCTGCCCACCCCAGCTCGGCCTCGGCAGGCCCTCGCCCGGGCCCCATGGGAGCGCATCGTTAAAGAAAGCGCGCCGCTGGATCACCCTGTAGTTGAAAAGGGGGGGCGATCGCAGAACCCCCCCGTCCCCTCCCCCCCTTCGAAGGGGGGGTGAAATTATTTCGACCCCCCCCCCCCTCCCTCCCTTAATGGGGGGGGTCGAACCCCCCCCCCCTGAAGGGACGGGGGGGTCCGGACCCCCCCCCCCCCCTCCCCCCCTTGGCGCTGGAAAGGAGGGGGGGTCGAACACCCCCCCGCCCCCCCCCCTTTGCGCCGAACAGGGGGCCGGGGAGGGGGCCTCTCCCGCAAGGGGGGGGCGGTCAGGCCTCGGGATAGTGAGTAGTGAGTACAAACTGGAGACGTGAGTAGTGAGTACTGGGTAGTGAGTAGATAGTAGCGAGTAGTGAGGAGCGGGGACGGAGTAGTGCGTAGTGCGCAGCGAGTACAGAATAGTGAATACTGAAAAGTGGTTAGTGCGGAGTGGGTAGTGAGTAGTGGGTAACGAGTAAGAGTGTAGCGAGTAGTGAATAGTGGGTCGCGAATCGGGCATTGTGCGTAGTAAGTAGTGAGGAGGGAGTAGTCAGTAGAGCGTAGCGAGTAGAGAGTAGCGACTAGTGAGTAAGGAGTAGTGAGTAGTGTATGGGTGAGAAGTGGGAAGTGGGTATTGAGTAGTGGGTAGTGGGTAGTGCTTCAGGAGTAGCGAGTAGTGAGTGGTGAGTAGTGAGTAGTGGAGAGAGAGAGAGTACTGAATAGTGAGTAGTGAATAGCGACTTGTGACTAGTGACTAGTGAGTAGGGAGTAGTGAGTATTGCGTAGTGAGTAGTGGATACTGCGTAGTGGGTAGCGAATAGCGAGTTCGGAGTAGCGGGTCGTGATTAGTGAGCCGTGAGTACTGTGTAGGGAGTAAGGAGTTGCGAGTAGCGAGCAGCGGATAGTAAGTAGTGAGTTGCGGGCAATGAGTGGTGAGTAGTGAACTGTGAGTACTCAGTATTGAATGGTGAATAGCTGTTAGTGAGTAGTGAGTAGTGCCTAGTGAGCAGTGAGTAATGGGCAGTGAATAGTGTTTAATGAGTAGTGAGTATCGATTACTGGGTAGAAAGTAGAGAGTAGTGAGTTGGGAGTAGTGAATAAGGAGTAAGGAATAGTGAGTAGTGAGGAGTGGGAGCGTAGTGAGTAGTCAGTAGTGGGTGGTGAATGGTGCGTATTGGGTAGCGAGTAGGGTGTAGGGAGTAGCGAATAGTGAATAGCGATTACTGTGTAGGGAAGAGGGAATAGCGAGTAGCGAGTAGTGGATAGTGAGTAGTGGGTTGTGGGCAGTGAGTACAGAGTAGTGAGGTGTGAGTAGTGAGTAGTGAGTAGTGGATGGTGGTTAAGTGGGCAGTGAGTAGTGACTTGTGATCAGTGAGTAGTGGGTAGTGAACTGCGTTTAGTGAATACTGAATATTGAATAGTGGGTAATGGGTAGTGGGTAGTTCGTGGGGAGTAACTAGTGAGTAGTGGGTAGTGGGTAACGACTAGTGGGTAGTGCGTAGTGAATCGTGAGTAGTGAATAGTGAGAAGTGAGTAGCGAGTAGTGATTAGGTGGGTAGTGAGTAGCGCGTCATGAGTAGTGGGGTTAGGGTTAGGGTTTGGGGTTAGGGTCAGGGGTTAGGGTAAGGGTAAGGATTAGTATTTGGGGTGGTAGGGGTAGGGTTCCGGAGCCGGGGGGCGCCGTGGCGAAAGGGGGAGAAGGGGGGGGGGGGGGGGGGGGGGGGGGGTAGCGAATTTGTTTAGGCGGCCAAAGGGGGGAGGGGGGGGGGGGGTACGGACCCCCCACTCCCCTTTTGAAAAGGGGTGGGGGGGACGGGATCCCGACGACGGATCGGGAAAGGGGAGGGGAGGGGGGGAGGGGGGGGGGGTTCCCGGACGGATCGGGAAAGGGGGGGGGGGGGAGGGGTTCCCCCCCACCTCCCGCTTGGGGAGATCCAGCGGCGCACCCTCATCGTTAAAGGCGTAACGACTTCTGCCGTTCTTCGACTCGCGCTGGAGCGGCCGCGAGTTCCTCCAACTTTCCCAGGAGATCTCTGGATGTACCCGGACGATCTACCTGGATGTACCTGGATGTATCTCGATGTACCTGCTATTTACCTGGATTTACCTGGCTCGATCCCCACGAGTCGATTGGCGACAAGTCGACGCGCCCTCGGGGAGTCAACAAAAGGCGTCCCGAGCTCCGCGGGCCCCGTGCTGGAAGAGACCACAGAGGCGTCGGAGACCTGGGCCCCTGGGCGGCCTCGACAAGAACGAGCCGAGACTACAGAGCCGGGTGCAACGGGGGCCACCGGGCCCTCGCGTAGCCCTGACTGAGCCCAGGGGGAAGCCGCATTGGAGGCAACCCGTAGAACAAGGATGCGCGATGAGGATGCGAGGGCCTTGAGAAACCATGCCGACACTCTGCGAGTGCGGCGCGGCCATCGGAAGTGGCCAAGGACGGGCCGAGGAGGCAAGGATGCAAGGGTACTTTTGGGAAGGTTGCCCATCGTTGCTGTGCGGGTTGACTGTGAAGCCGGACTGAGCGGGATTACGCAGGTTTTCGGCCACGGACAGACCAGCGCCGACCGCTCAGTTGTAAGTGGACCTCCCCAGAGATCCGATATCGTATGTTTTCAATGCGGGGTCCCCGGAAGTCTTGCCCCACTCCCCGGGGCGGGTTTCTCATCCTGAGTCGATCGTTTCTCGGCGGTCCGTGGGCCCCGGCGAGGGCCCCCTATAGGAGGCCGCAAGCTGCAAGAATCCTCCGTCTTGATAGGTTCCATTCGCTGGATCCCTCGGGGTCGGTGCCCGTTGATAGGAGGAGAGGGGAGGAAGAGAGGAATACCGAATCTCTCTTTTCTACTGCGGTGGCGCTGGATCTCTGGGCCCTCAGCGAGGAGGAGGGGCGGCGGAGGAGGAGGGGCAGGGGGAGGCGCGGGGGAGGAGGTGGCGGAGGAACGGGAGCAGTGGGCGCGCAGGCCCGACGGCACCAGCGCGCAGGGGGCGGAGGGAGGAGGCCGTCAGGCTCCCGCGGCCTGCGGGGAACGTTGTGTTGCGCCTTCGCAAAAACATTGAGGGGGTACGCTGTGCGCGGTGCGTTGTTGGATTCTATACGTGGCCGTTTGGGCCATGTGGGGTCCTCAGCACAGCGCCCTTGCCCCGCCTCGCCCTCCTCGCAACTGTGGGCCGCATTCCGTGGCACGCTCGCTGCGTGGTGCTGCGCCTTCTCTGTGGGCGTTGCTGGGGGGGGGCGATAAACAGGGGGCCAAGAACCGTGTACCTGTCGTGCCCCCTTTTGGCCCCGTGGGGCCCCCTTTGCGGCACAACCGGTGCACCCTCCTACCCCTCCAAATATTTGTCGCCCCCCCCTCCATGATGGAACGCCAGATTTTTCTAGGCCCCTGGGCGCATCCGGGGACCCCCGGCGTCCTCGGGCTCAGGGGGAAGCCGGGGGGAAGCAGGACGAACTCCCTTCAGAGGGAATTACAACCGCGCCAACAATTTCACGACAGGGAGCAGGGCGGCGATCACATTGGCCAGACCCCTCCTGTGATCGGCGTGCTTGCCGGGGTGGCGCAGATGAGTCCCGATCAACCCCCTCTGCGAGGGGAGGGACGGAAGGGGGGAGGGGATGATGAACAGGAGGAATGGGAGGAGGAATGGGAGGAGGAGGAGGAGGAGGAGGAGGAGGAGGAGGAGGAGGAGGAGGAGGAGGAGGAGGAGGAGGAGGAGGGGGAGGAGGAGGAGGAGGAGGAGGGGGAGGCAATGGGGCTGCCAGAGAGACTCCCCTGCTGGGCTGACCCCTGGGGGAGCGACAGAGGAAAGCACTAACATGGGAATCGCCGACCAGTCGACGACCGGCTGGCGATGGGCGACTGGCCTGGGCGCCCCAGCCCGCCCACGCTCCTGGGGGGCAGGCTGGGGCGCACCTTCCCCGACCGGGGGGAGCTGAGCAATGAGGGGTCGACCCTCTGGAGGAGGAGGAGGAGGAGGAGGAGGAGGAGGAGGAGGAGAAGGAGGTGGAGGAGGAGGAGGCGGAGGAGAAGGAGGTGGAGGAGGAGGAGGAGGAGGAGGAGGAGGAGGAGGAGAAGGAGGTCGATGGGGGTGGAGGAGGAAAAGGAGGAGGTGGAGGGGGCGGAGGAGGAGGAGGAGCAGGAGGAGGAGGAGGAGCAGGAGGAGGAGGAGGAGGAGGAGGAGGAGGAGGAGGAGCAGGGAAAGGACCCCCCGACGCTGCGTCGGATCGAGGGTGCAAGATCGAGCCCTGGGCCTTGCCTATCCTGGGGGGCGCTCTCGCCAGGCTTTCCGGGGCGGAGCCAGCTGTGGCCGCGCGGGCGCCGCGGGATCACCGAAGACGTCCAGCCAGCGACCTCGAGCCTCGAAGCTGCTCCTCCCTGGCGCAGGGGCGAAGAACAGAGGGCAGAACATCCACCCCCCCATAAGAACCACCCCGACAAGCGAGGCCGCCTACCAAGCGCACGCAAGGGGAGGAACCGAACCGGGCACGACTGTTCAGATACATGCGCAGGGCCGCTTGCGAAGCGTCCATCGTCAGGTCTGGGTGGCTTCCCTCCCTTGAGAGAGAAGAAGACATCCACAGCCAGTGGGCCGAGGGGACCGCCCCTGGCACCCTCCTAAAGCCGACCTCGACCCCCCTGCGGGGACGACCTGCGCGCGGCGCCCGTTTTTTCAGAGGCCGATCGCAGGTCATCACCGCTGGGGGCTCAAGGTCGCCAGGGGTGTTTCCGACTCAGCCAGGCGGTTGTACAGTCATCGGCCTGACCTAAGTAACGATACATAAGGAACGAAGCCCCTTTTTTATCCCAAGGAATAACGCATAAGGAACGATAAATAACAAATAACGCATAAGGAACTGTAAATCACGCATGTAAACCTAAGGAACGACCGAGCCCCTTTTGAAAAGTAAGTGTTCCTTGTTCAAGCCGCTCACTGTAATCCCAGACATTCGAGGTTTTCTTTTTGTGTTCGATACGGGGTGCCAGAAGGTACCGCCGACCTTTCCCCAAGGCTGGTCCTGCAAGCCGAGAACTTGTTCGACGGTCCTGGGGCCCGACGAAGGCCACCAGAAACCGAAGACGGCCAAAGACCTCCTGCCGTGTTTCTTTTTCGCGATGCGAACATGCCTGGGCTCATCTCATCGTCGCCCATGACCGGCGTCGCGCCGCGCCTGCCCCTGAGACAATCCGTCCTTGACGCTGCCCCCAGCGATGCCCAACCGGGCAACCGAGCGCCCTTTCGACAAACGACGACGATGACGACGACGACGACGACGACGACGAGGACGAGCGACGCGCTGACGACCACGACGACGAGCGCCGCGCTCCTGGCAGAAGGCGTGGAAGTCGCCAGACAGCGCGTGGACGTCCCCGGAGAGCTTGCCGATGCCGCGGTGGCCGTCCTCCACGGACTGCCTCTCGGGGGGAGGACGTGGGGAGGGCAGCACGAGGGAGGTCTTTTTGCAAGAACGGTGGAAGTGGCATTGGAAAAACGGCATGCGCAGAAACTTTCGGCGCCCCGCGCAGAGTTCTTGGATCTGCGCTGCACCCCCCTCCCTGGCGCGAGGAGCACGCCGGGGGCGGCGCCGGGTGGCGGCCCAGCACGGATCCAAGAAATCCGCGCGGAGCGCCAAAAGTTGGTTTGTAGCGTTTTGTTTTCTTCTTCTTCGATGAACGGCCCTGAAGCCAGAGGGGCCTTTCTACCAGATTAGCGCAGGTCGAGCCCAGGATCTGGCCAGACAGGGCCAGATCTCGCGACAGCGCGCGTATCCACCGGATCAGGCTGGTTGTCGACGACGGACATACCAGCGACGGTGTTGAGCTGAATCTCCCTGGAGTTATGTTCTACAGTCGGACCTGGGACAGAAGAACATCCTCCAGAAACATGAGACCCTCTGCAAGTCAAAACACAGAGCATCCAAGGGTACTCTCCCCAGGATGCGCCAGAACACCCAACAAACGCGAATAAGGATACCCTCCCCAGACCGACATCGATCTTGTACCTTGGTCCGACTGTATAGGACGGGACGGCCCAAGATAGAGGCCTCCTAGATGGGGTCCTAGTAGACGGGATCGGAGGAGCGCGCAGCATCGCGGACGCATCACCGATACATCGCCGTTGCATCGACGATGCATCGGCGACGTCGGCGATGCGTCGGCGACGTCGGCGTGGAGAACATCGGGCCCCACATCGAGCCGCATCGCCGATGCATCGGCGATGCGACGCGATCCTCCGACCCTATCTACTCGGACCCAAGTCAGGAGGCCTAAGACAAGAGGGCATCGAGAAGGCCCCGAGACGGCCCAGTATGGCCCCAGAGCGGTCCGAGAGTCTCTCCCAAGCCGGCCCGAGCGGGAGAGCCGGGCGGGAGGGGATGCTCGCGGAGGAGGGGCGGGGGGAAGCCGAGCCGGGAGCGTCCAAGAGGGGTGTGTGCAAATCGTGGCCGGGGCACGTGCGCGGCACAGGGGGGGGGAGACGTATCGAGATGAGAAGAGGCGCCATGAGATCTGGGGAAATATCATGCCCCCCGCCAGTGCATCCCCGTACTAGTCATAACACCCCTCTTGGACGCCCCCGAAGGAGGAGGGGGGGAGGAGGGGAGGGGGGCGAATCAACGAAATCAGCGAATCAAGGACGTTCCCGCAAGCCTGTGTAGCAAGCTCTTATGCGGCTTACTATACTCGCTCTTGTGCGGCAAACTCTTGCCGCCACGGCGTGGACCCTGGGTTCTGCCACCGACGTGAAATGTTCAGTATTGCACACTCTCCGCCGTCGGGTGTTCCCGAGGGCCGCCGTGGGTCTCCAACCTTGAGCGCCAGCGCTGCCGCCGCGCCGAGACCCGCGGGTGGGAAACATGTCCACATCCATGGCCTCGCTGGCCAGGCTCCTCGGCCGCGACCCCATGGATACGGCGGCTTTCCACGGATGTCCCGCGCGACACGTATCGATGGCATCGCGTACCCATGCCATCGGGCCCCAGAACCTAGAACGCGAGAACATGAAGACGGATGACTACGCTCGCTGCTCGTGAGGGACGGCACGAACAAACCGTGCCCCACCTCCTCCCCTCCTCCTCTTCGCCGTCCTCCTCCACCTCCTCCTCCTCGACCTCCTGGCAGCCATCCTCACAATCATCATCCCGCCCATCCTGCCTCCTCCCCTCTTCCTCCTGCCGCCTCTTCCTCCCCTCGCCCTCGTCCTCGCCCTCGTCCTCGTCCTCGTCGTCGTCCATGTCCTCGTCCTCATCCTCCTCCACTTCCTTTTCCTTCTCCTCCTATTCCTCCACCTCCTCCTTCTTCAACACCTTCTCCCTTCCTCCTCCTCCTCCACCACCTCCTCCTCCTCCTCCTCCTCCTCCCCTCCTCCTCCTTCTCCCCTCCTCCTCTCCTCCTCCTCCTCCTTCTCCTTCCTCCTCCTCCCTCCTCCTCTCCTTATCCTTATCCTCCTCCTTCTCCTCCTCCTCCTCCTCCTCCTCCTCCTCCTCCTCCTCCTCCTCCTCCTCCTCCTCCTCCTCCCCCCCTCGGAGCTCGGAACTCGGAACTCGGACCTGCAACTGTCGCCGGCCGGGGCGTCGCAGGTGGGCGTCGCACCGTCGGGCATGTGAAAGGTGTGCGAAGATGGGACAAGTCAATGGAGCATGACAGCGAACAACTGCAAACCAAGGGCGGGCACAAACCGGTCTGCAGTTGAGGAACAAAACACGGCATAAACATAAACTGTTGGAGGTCCGCGCGGATTTCTTGGATCCGCGCTGGACCCCCCTCCCTGGCGCGGGGGGCGCGCCAGGGGCGGCGCCGGAGGCGCCGCCGGGAGGCCCGGCGCGGACACCAGAAATCCGCGCGGAGCGCCAACAGCGTATGTTTATGGCGCTTTATCTTCTTCTATACAAACGTCGGCCGAGATAGGGTTAAGTCGGGCGTGTCCCCCTACAGGGGGATTTTCGACGAAAAACAAAAATACGGCCCAACGGGCCAGGGCGTGCTAAGATCTCCGGTACCTGGTTAACAGTATTTCTAGTTCGCGCGCGCGGGGCGGTCCCTGGGGGTCCCCGGGCGAAAAGTACCCCGGCAAGTTCCCGGCAAGTCCCCGGCAAGTCCCCGGCAAGGTCGGGTCAGAGATGCCGGAGTTCTGTTTCGGAGTCCAAGAGGGCTCCAGATCGGTCCAAGAGGGCCCCGAGAAGCTTTCTAGACGGTCCAAGAGAGGCCCGAGACGGCCAAAGATCGCCCGAAGACGCCCCAGATGGCCCCAAGACAGCCCAAGAGGCCTCCAAGACGCTCCAAGGGCCTTCCAAGAGGCCTCCGAAGAGGGCCCCAAGTTGCCAAAATCGTTGATTTTCATTGGTTTTTTCTATGTTTTTTTGCGTTCTGGCCTTTTCGCTTCCGGACGCTCCAAGAGGGCCCAAGAGGCCTTCAAGACTGCTCCAAGACGGCCCACGAGGCTCCCAAGACGGCCCCGGAGCGGCCCAAGAGCGCCCCCCAGACGGCCCAAGTGCTGCCCAAGGCGGACCAAGAGGCCCCAAGACGGGCCCAAGAGGGGCTCAAGAAGGGAACCGAGAACTGAAAAATCGAGCCCTCCGCCCCAGAAGGCGCCCAGGACCCCGAAAGAGGCCCCAAGAGACTCTCCAAGACACCCCCAAGACGCCCCAATAAGCTCCCGTGAGGCCCCAAGAGGACCAACAACGTCAGGCCCCAGGCCCCAAGAGGACCAACAAATACCGCCAAGAGCCCGCCGAAAGCCCCCCAAGAGACCGTCACGAGAGCTCAGGAGGCCCCCTGGAGGCCTCCCGAGTTCTCCAAGAGGCCTAAAAAGAGGCGCCAAGAGGCCCCAAACGGCCCCACCGAGGCTCCAAGAGGCCACGAACGCGCAAGCAAACGCCTGCGATGGCACAATACGGGCCGGCGGAATGAGCGAAGCGATTGAATAATCAAAAAATGATCAAAAAATAATATGGGGACTATTTGGGGAATATTTTTGACCTTTTTTGGAAGTATTTTTGTAGTATTTCTTAATTGTCGTTGAAAATCCTCCTGTAGGGGGACAGGCCCGACTTAAAGATAGGGCGACGAAATCTATACACATCCACTGCTTCCTGGCCAGGCCCATCCTGTAACCAGCAGCGTTGCGTACGCCTCGCCCTCCTGGCGGGGCCAGGATGGCGTATTATACGCAGCTCCCGCGTTCAAGGTGGGAGCCTTTACGCAGCTCCCGCGCTCAGGGTGGGCCTGGCGGGGGAGCAGTGGATCCGTATAGATTTAGGTCGGGCATGTCCTTCTACAGGCGGGTTTTGTGAAGGACAAATCAAACACGGTCAAAACATATCCACAGAGAGTGACAGAGAAAGGAGAAACATCGTCCCAGACCATGTCTTGAAACTGCGTTTGAAGATGCCTCCTCCAGAGGGACAGGCCCGACCTGAGCATAGATCTCCCCGCCCGACGAAGAGCACCCCCCACACGTCGGTACTGGAATTAAGTCGGGCCTGTCCCCCTACAGGGGGGTTTTCGACGAAAAATAACAAATGCACCAAACAGAATCAAAAAAAAAGTATGGGGACTATTTTTTGACTATGTTTTGACCTTTTTGCTGTATTTTTAATCCCCCTGCAGGGGGACACGCCCGACTTAATACTGGAAAGGGGCGGACCCTCGCCGCGGCCAAATCAGGCGGCGCCAGGACGTGCCAGACCCCCGCCCGCCTCCGCAGACCTCGTCTCGCCGCGAGAAAGGACCACGGCGGGAGGTGCCTCGTCCTCTTCGGCTTAAGTCGGGCGTGTCCCCCTACAGAGGGATTTTGGGCGAAAAATTAGACATGCCCCAAAAATACCCCCAAGAAGGCAAAACATACTCAAATAAAATAGTCCCCTGACTATTTCTGGACATTGTGTTTTTTTTTTTTTTTGGGGGGGGGGGTATTTCTAATTCTTCGTCGGAAATCCCCCTGTAGGGGGACACGCCCGACTTCATCTTCGGCCTCCAGAGGCCCTCGCCGGGCCTCGGCACCCTCCGAGAACGGCTCGGGAGGAGAGGCCCGGTCCCGGGGGAAGGGGTCCGGACCTCCGGGGGTCGAGGTCGCGAGATCTCATCACGACGTCGGGGGTCTGGGCCCGCGCCCGCTCGAGCACGGGGTTCGACGGGGCTCCGGCCCGCGGCGGGGGGCGTCTGCGAGGACCCTCCCTAAGAGCGACCAAGAGTCGGCCCGCATCACAAGGACGCGCGATAATAGGAAGGCACCAACTATACACCAACACCGATCCTGGCCAGGATCACCCTGGGCCCGGGATCGGTGTATACGCCCTCCTGCCTTGGGCAAGAAGGCATATACACCGATCCTGGGCCCAGGGTGATCCTGGGCCAGGATCGGTGTTGGTGTATAGTTGGTGCCCTCCGAGATAAGGACGCAAGGGCCTTGGGAGGCCATGTCGACACCTTGCGGGCGGGGCGCGGCCAGCAGGAGAGGCCAAGGGTGGGCCGAGGAGGCGAGGGTGCAAGGGTACCCTTGGGAAGGTGGCCCATCCTTACTCTGCGGGTTGACTGCAGTGGGATGTTTGCATCGTGTCGACCCCGGCGTTGGTTCCTGACACCGCGGGGATCTCGGGCGGGGGTAGGACGAGCATGCATGCGGTCCAGGGCGCTCCGGTACGCTCTCGGAGCGTGCCAGAACGCTCTAAGAGAAGGCCGCGGCGCCCAAGGCCCAAGGCGTCCTCCAGAGAGCCCCTGGATCTCGTAGATTCTCGACCTGGCCTCACCCGGCTTGGTCCGCGCCCTGGCTTCCTCGGAGGCACCGCTCACACTAGAACAATCGGCGGCTGCAGAGACACGCCGGATCGTTCAGCGGCGGGCCGACTCTGGGGGAACGAAGAATGGCATAAACAGAATCGGGGATGAACAGACCCCCTTTTAGTAAAACGTGGTTTAGTGAAAACGACCTGAGGCCCAAACCTGGCGGGCGCAAGCCTGGAAAATGACGGCCACGGCGCCCTCTCGAGAGGCGAAAACGGACAATTCACAAATCGACGTGTCACTGCTGGGGTTTCTGTCCACCCCCGACAGAAAAACTCAGAGGTCCGCGCGGATTTCTCGGATCGGCGCTGCGACCCCCCTAGCGGCGCCTCCGGCGCCGCCCCTGGCGCGCTCCGCGGATCCGGGAAATCCGAGCGGATTTCCGAGTGTTTATGCTTATGTCATTTTTGGTTCCCCTAGACTCTGGGCCGGGTACCGCGTGCAGCGTGTCGGCACGACTCGAGCCTGGAGCCCGCCGTATTGTAACGGGACGTGCGGAGAGAGCGCCGCAGGGCCCCCGACAGGGCCCCGCGGCGCGAAGGAGCCGCGGCGGAGGAGTTTCTCGCCCTCCAGGGGGCCCCCTGCCGCCGGGTCGGGCATGTCCTCCTGCAGGGGGATTCTGGACGAAACATGAAAAATAGTCGAACGCATTCAAACATCATGGGAAATTCGTCCGCGAAACATCGTCCCCATCTTATTTATATGTCGGGCATGTCCCCCTAAGATGGGGATTTCCGACGAAAAACAAGCAATACCCCAAACATACTCCAAACAGGGAAAAAATGCTAAAAAAATAGTCCCCAGAATGTTGGACTATTTTTGGATTATCTTTTGGGCATTTCTAATTTTACGTCGAAAATCCCCATGGAAGGGGGACAGGCCCGACTTAATCTTATTTGCTTGTTTGCAAAATTTTGAACATTCTTCCCGACCTCACTCCAGGGGAGCCCCTGCCGTCGTGGCACAGAGCATGGCGCCTCGGCAGCTCTCAGGAACCGCGCGCGCGCGCTGCGCGGAGAGGGGCAGGAGCAGGAGGGGAGAGGGGGAAGAGGAGGGGAGGAGAGGAGCAGGAGAGGAGAGGGGATCAGAGGAAGCAGGAGGAGCAGGAGCAGGAGAGGAGAGGATGAGAGGAGAGGAAGGAGAGAGGGGGGAAACGAGCAGGAGAGGAGGGGAGAGGAAGGAGGGCCAAGACAATCAGAGCCGGTGCTCGGGATCCGAGGCCGATCCCTTGGAAGGGGTCCGGACCTCTGGGGGGGGGGGCTACATCTCCGAGAGGGCACCACGACGTCAGACGTCAGATGCCTGGAGTTGTGAGGGGCCCCCCCGCCCAGGCATCGGACGTCGTGTTTTTTTGGGTGGCGTCCCAGGGACCGGCTTTTGCACCCTGGGCGGTTTCTGGCCGTCCCGAGGCGCGCCGAGCCCCCCCCAAGGCTGAAGAAGCGACGCAGGCGCAAAGAAGTCAGGGGCAGGGGCGAGGCGATGGAGGAGGAGGAGGAGGAGGAGGAGGAGGATGAATGGGAGGAGGAGGAGGAGGAGGAGGAGGAGGAGGAGGAGGAGGAGGAGGAGGGGAGGAGGAAGGAGGAGGAGGAGGAGGAGGAGGAGGAGGAGGAGGAGGAGGAGGAGGAGGAGGAGGAGGAGAGGAGGAGGAGGGGAAGGGGAGGAGGAGGAGGAGGAGGAGGAGGAGGAGGGAGGAGCCCCCCCCAGACGCAGGGCCGCCGTCCGGCATGTGCGAGTGCCTACCGCACGGCGACGAGGGCTGGGCGGCGGGGGCGAGGGGCCCGGGCCCCGCAGCCGAGGGGTGCCCCGTCGGCAAGGGCGCCGCGGGCCGCCCGCGTCGCCTCCACGGGACGTTCGCCCAGGTGGGGCGCTCGGGAGGAGGTTTCGTATCCCATGGCCCCTCATCGACATCCTGACGTCGTCGTCGTCGTCGTCGTCGTCGTCGTCGTCGTCGTCGTCGTCGTCGTCGTCGTCGTCGTCCTGTTCCTCCTGCTCCTCCTTCTCCTCTTCCTGTTTCCTTTCGCCGGGCTCCAGTCAACACAGAATGCAGCGTTCGTCGTCGTCGTAGTCCTCCTCCTCCTCCCTCTGGCGTTCTCCCCTCCTGCGTCTGCCCCTGCTCCTCCTCCCCCTCCTCCCGCTCCCCTCCCTTCCCTTCCCTTGTCTTCTCTTCCTTTTACCTCCTCCCGCCCCTCCTCCTCTCCAAAGCGGGGCTCGGTTCTTCCCCACTGGCGCCTCAGCTGCCTCACCTCCTGGTTGACGAGGTGCTGCAACCTCTGCAACTCCTCGACCTGAGGAGCCAGCAACTTCCGCCGGGCATGCCCGCTACGGCTCCTGCTGCGTCTTGCTCTCGTCCGCGGGCGGGGGGGGGCACATGAATGCACGCATACCTGCTCCAGAGCAGGGGGTCACTGACGTCCTCGCTTCGTGACACTCATCACGACGGCATTTGTCGCTTGAGATTTGCATCTCTCAGCCTCCCTGGGGGCCCTTCATGGTCCCCAGGCCCAGCAAGAACAGCTCGGGATGAAGAGCCCGTCCCCAGGAAGGGGTCCAGACCTCGGGGGGAGCCACGCCGTGGGAAACCACGACGCCGGATGCCTGGGGCCCTGAACGTCTACTCCCCTCCCCCCGGGATCTCCTGGGACGCACGAAGACGCACTAGTACCATATGCTCTCCTTGGAGGCGCGCGTCCGACCGAACATCTAGTATGCCCCTCTTGTAGTACATGCGTCGTTCCCCGAGCCGTGTGGCCAGAAAGCGTCCGACACGACGCATCTGCTACGAAACTCCTTGGTGCGCGCGCCGCTCCTGGGGGGGGGGGGGGGGGGCGACGCACGCACGGTCTTCGTTTGTTGGGGTGACGCCGAGTCTGCTCCACTCCCCCCAGGACCTCCCCCGTGGTGAAATCGAGGCGCCGCGGAGAGATCACGACCGATGCGCTCGACCATGTGTCTATGTTAAGTCGGGCGCGTCCCCCTACAGGGGCATTTTCGACGAAAAATTAAAAATATTCCAAAAACACTCCAAAAGGGTCAACAGATACTCAAAAATAGTCCCCAGACTATTTTTGGATTATTCTTTGATTATGTTTGGGCTATGTTTTAACTTTTCGTCGAAAATCCCCCTGTATAGGGACGGGCCCGACTTCTCGCGCGGCGGCGCCGTCCGGGAGGGCCTCGGGGCTCGGAGGCGGGGCCAGAGCTCCTGCCACGGAGCCAGAATCTGATGGTCTCCCCTCCTGCCTTCTCCTCCTCCTCCTCCTCCTCCTCCTCCTCCTCCTCCTCCTCCTCCTCCTCCTCCTCCTCCTGCCCCTTGCTCCCCTCCTCTTGCTCCTCCTCTACCTCCTCCTCCTCCTCCTCTCCTCCTCCTCCTCCTCCTCCCCCTCCTCCTCCTCCTCCTCCCCCCTCCTCCTCCCTCCTCCCTCCTCCTCCTCCTCTACCTCCTCCCTCCTCCTGCTCCTCCTCACCCTCGTTTTCATCTTCGTCGTCTTCAGGGTCGGCGGCACTGGCCGCAAGGCCTTCGCGATCTGATGGTCCCCCCTCCTGCCTCCCCTCCTCCAGGCGGCGCGACCGCGGGAGAAACAGGTGGGCGGGGGGGCGGGCGACTTCCTCCGAAGGCGGTGGGGCTTCTCGAAGCCCTCGCGCCCTCTGACAACCGATGGGCCTTCTCCAAAGCCACGGACGGCTTCCCAGACCCCCGACGTCGTGATTTTTTCGCAACGTCGACCCCCAGGGGTCTGGACCCTTCCCCGGGGACCGAATTTTCATGTCGATTCGTTGTGTGACGGTCCCGAGGCCCGGGGAGGGCCCCCCCGGAGGCCGAAAGCAGCGAAAAAAACCTCCCGCCTTGATTTCTTGCACAGCGCGAGGAGCTCTGGGTTCTCCGCAGGCGCGCGGGCGTCCGAGGAGCCCCGCCGCCCTCCGACGAGGCCAGCCCCTCTGCCGCCCCCCCGAGGGAGCGCCGCCGATCCTCCTCCTGCCTGCTCCCCGCTCGCGGCGCCTGTCTCCGCATCTCCGCCACCGCCGCCGGGTCGCCCGCGGGAGCCGCCGCGGCGGGCTGCGGCTGCGGAAGCGGCGCCGCGGGCGGCGGCGGGGCCCTCGTGACGCAGCACCGGAGGAACGCCATGGAGAGGAGGAAGCACAGGAAGATGCCAAGCGTCATGCCCGCCAGCGGGTCCAGCGGCGAGCCTGAGGGTGCAAAAGGGACTCGCCTCCCGGACCGCCGCCGCTCGCCCCCCCCCCCCCACCGCTCCGCGGCCCACCGCTCTACGTCTGCCTCCCGCTCCCCTCGCGACTCTCCCATCCTCCCCTCCACTTCCTCCCGCTTCCTGTCCCCTCCCCCCCCAGCAGCTCCCCCCCAGTGAGGCACGGGGGGCGACGGAGCAAAAGCCGAAGGAGGCGACGCACGGCATCCCGAGCCACTTCCGAAGCCACGGTGGCCGCTCTGACTGCATCGAGGCCACTGCGCCGCCCTCCCCGCCTGCAGATCCAGAGAGCATGCGGGGCGAGCGCCCGCGTCCGTCTGTGAGCCGAAGATTCCATCATCGGGGGCGCGCAAACATGGATTAGCGATCCGTGGATTTGGCGCGCGGTCGCCAAATCCATGGATCGGGAGAGGTGCCCTCCCCAGAATGCGGCTGGCGGCCGCCTCGCTCGGCGGCGGAAATCCGCGATTCCCCCCTGAATCGGGACCCGTGATCCATGTCTGCGATCGCCTGAAATCAGAGGGTCGACGCCGGCGGAGCGGGCACACACCGTCCCCCCGGGACCTGTCCGGCAGGCGCAAAAAACTGCCACCGTGCCCCCATGGCACGCGGAGGTGTTGTAGCATGCCCGAGTGCCGCCTGGTAGGGCTGGCGCCTCCTCCTCCTCCTGCTCCTCCTCCTCCTCCTCATTCTCCTCCTCCTCCTCCTCCTCCTCCTCTTCCTCCTCCTCCTCCTCCTCCTCCTCCTCTTCCTCGATCCTCGTCGCCCCCCTCGTGCGGGAGTGCGCGTTTTGAAGCCCCAGCGACAGGACTTCTCCCCCTCTAACAGCGGACTGGCGCGTGCACTTCCTTTACTCCGAAGGCCACGATGCCTTATCCGCCGGCCCCCTTGTGGGGCCACCAGGCTGCGAGGCGCGTGATTCGCAGTTTCCTGTGCCAGTTGTAGTTTGTAGTTTCCAGTGTTACAGTTCTGCTTCTTGCTGGTTACTGTAACTAGTTGACTTCTTGCTGGTTACTGTAACTAGTTGATTGACCGCGCGAGGGGGGGGAGGCCCAAACGGGATTTTTAGCGTCCCCTGGGCGCGTTGTCTGAATTGCTGGGGGGGCTCGAAATCGACACCCCTCACGCAGATCCGCGGGGTCAGGGTCCAAAAACACAGGGGATTTGCCACATTTCTGAAATTCGGTGCCACCCCTCACGCAGATCCGCGGGGTCAGGGTCCAAAAACACAGGGGATTTGCCACATTTCTGAAATTCGGTGCCACCCCTCACGCAGATCCGCGGGGTCAGGGTCCAAAAACACATGGGATTTGCCACATTTCTGAAATTCGGTGCCACCCCTCACGCAGATCCGCGGGGTCAGGGTCCAAAAACACATGGGATTTGCCACATTTCTGAAATTCGGTGCCACCCCTCACGCAGATCCGCGGGGTCAGGGTCCAAAAACACAAGGGGATTTGCCACATTTCTGAAATTCGGTGCCACCCCTCACGCAGATCCGCGGGGTCAGGGTCCAAAAACACAGGGGATTTGCCACATTTCTGAAATTCGGTGCCACCCCTCACGCAGATCCGCGGGGTCAGGGTCCAAAAACACAGGGATTTGCCACATTTCTGAAATTCGGCGCCACCCCTTACGCAGATCCGCGGGGTCAGGGTCCAAAAACACAGGGGATTTGCCACATTTCTGAAATTCGGTGCCACCCTTCACGCACATCCATCGCAAGGCGTGGTAACCCAAACTGCGAGAACTCCCGCGGCCCTTTAATCGCAAGGTGTGGTAACCAAGCCCGTAAACCATACACGTCTTACCAATCGCCAGGTGTGGTAACCCCTCTTGTTATCAGTTGGTTTTGCTGATTGCGAATCGGCTTCGCATGAAGTTTCGATACTGCTTCACGACAGCGCCAAGACCTCATGACTTAGCTCTTCCATGGCCCATTCTCCGAGAGAGGGGGCCGGCGGCAGGGGGCGAAGCCCTTACGGATAAACAACGTTGGATCCGCGCTCCCGAGGCCACGGAACGGAACGGAAGCCGGCTGGTGGCTCCACGAGGGAGCTGCCGGGGGGGGCCTAAGCCCACTCACTTGTTGATGTACCCATTGTTGATGTACTCCTCTTTTTAAGGTATCTCACACCGGTGATTTTGCCACCTGCACCCCAAAAAAACGACGTGTCCGCGTCTGGAGCTTCTAAGACCGGCCAAGCAAGCAACCAAGGGAGGCAAGATGGCCGAATATGCATCGAAGATGGCCCAAGATAGCCCCAAGGCGGCCCAATTGGGTCATCAAGCCAACCCAGGATGCCTCCAAGAGAGCCCAAAATGACCACAACAGGATCCCCAACAGGGTCCGGAGAAGCGAAAATCATTACCGTTTTCGACGGGTTGTCATTCTCACCGTTTCGGTCTTCCGTCAGCCCAAGGCGGCCCAAGAAGCCTCACAGATGGCCCCAAGATGGCCCAAAAGGCCTTCAAGAGGGTAGCACGATGGCCCAAGCGGATCGCCCAAGGGGGCCTCTGCAGAGACCTAAGACGGCTTTAGAAGGCCCTTGGACGGCGCTAAACGACGCCACGACGGCCCCACGACGGCCCCCAGACACCCGCCACATGGCCAAGAGGGCCCCACGACGGCCCAAGAGAGCCTCAAGACGGTCCCAAGGGATCCCCAAGACTGCCCCACAGGAGGCCAAACATCCACATGACGGCAAGCATGAGTCTCATGGGAGCTCCTCACATCAGCATCATCATCATCAGTAGCATCATCAGTAGCATCATCATCATCAGCAGTATCATCATCAGCATCATCAGCATCAGCATCAGCATCATCCTAATCATCATCATCAGCAGCAGCATCATCAGCATCATCAGCACTATAAGTCAGCATCAGCATCATCATCATCATCATCATCATCATCATCATCATCATCATCATCATCATCATCATCATCATCATTATCATCATCATCAACATCGTCATATTCATCAGCATCGTCATCGGAACCACCATCAGCATGATCATCATAATCATCATCAGCATCATCACCATCGCCACCATCATCGTCAGCATCATCAGAATCATCATCACCACCACCACCATCATCATAATCATCATCATCATCATCATCAGACTCATCATCAACGTCAGCAGCATCATCATCACCATCATCATCAGCATCAGCATCAGCATCAGCATCAGCGTCAGCATCATCGTCATCATCAGCATCATCATCATCATCATCATCATCATCATCATCATCATCATCATCATCATCTTCATAGTCATCTTCATCAGCATCGTCATCATCATCGTCATATTCATCGTCATGTGCATCATCATCATTAGCATCATCACCATCGCCACCATCATCGTCAGCATCATCATCACCACCGCCACCGCCATCATCATGACCATCATCATCATCATCATCATCATCATCATCATCATCATCATCATCATCATCATCATCATCGTCAGCATCATCATCACCATCATCAGCAGCATCATCATCGGAACCACCATCCTCAGCATGATAATCATCACCATCACCATCACCATCACAATCACCATCATCATCATCATCATCATCATCATCATCATCATCATCATCATCATCATCAGCACCATCAACATCCACATGATCACCATCCTCATAATCCTCACCACGGCTCTCCAAAGCCTGGGGATACGAGGTGTCGCACGTGACGGCCTCCCGTGCCCCCTCGAACAGTCGCCACTCATAATGCTTGACTGCCGGTGGCGGGACTTGCCGCAGGCAGCTTGATACGACGAGACAGACAAAAAAAGATACAACGAGAGAAGAGAAAAGGGCCGCCTTTTGACGGCCCGGGTGGCCCAGCCTTCCCCCCCTTGGCCAGAAAAAAACGAACATCAGCTGCGATCGTGACTTTGTCGCGGCGCGTGGATGCGAGGCGGGGGGTTCTCAATGACCTGGATTCTCCTTCTTCGGAGACCTCAGCAGGCGGCATGTATGGATGTATGTGGGGCCCCCTGTGGCCCGAATGTATCCATGTCCACCCCCTGCCAGTGCCCCCTGGAGATCGATCCGCCGTGCGCTGTTACGGATGAAGCCCCGCCCCGGAGAGGATGCCAGGGGAGCCGTGAACGGCGCTGTCCACGATGCTGGCGCAGAGGCCCCCCGTCCACTTCGCGCAGGTCACGAGCCACGTGCCTGAGGGGTAACGGCAGAAGGGGGGGACCGGCCCAGGGGGGGAAGCCTCGACCTGGCATCGGCGATGCATCGCCAATAGATTGGCGATGGGCCCCGAAAAGCAAAACCACGCGGTCCTGGGCGGTGTGGGCTATCGGGCCTCTATACCGGCGATCAATGAGCGGTTTGGGGTCGCGGCATCCCCCCGTCAGCCCATCCCCGTCCCCGGGGGTTTCCGAGCCATAGCTCAAACTTCCAGCGGCCGCTCGGGACGATCCGTGCAGACCCGAACCGCTCTCGGCGAGGCGCAGCTGATGGAACCCATCCCAAGGCTGGAAAACTGCAGGTAACCGACGAAGGCGCCCGAAAACCTCGAGCCCTGAACCAGTCGTCCCCCAGAGCATATTCGCCCCAACGTCGCACACACGCAGGAGTGACCCTGGGCAGGAGTGACCTTTGGTGCACGGCTTTCGGGGGCCGCGGGAGGACATGCTCGAACTTGGGCAAACGCGCGGGCCCACGCTGAGGCCAATCCCGTGGGCCAGCACCAAAGACCACTCCTAGAAGAAGAACAACGTCATGAGCATAAACTGTTGGCGCTCCGCGCGGATTTCTTGGACCCGCGCTGGACCGCTGGACCCCCCCCTCCCTGGCGCGCGGAGCGCGCCAGGGGCGGAGCCGGAGGCGCCGCCTGGGGAGGCCCAGCGCGGATCCACGAAATCCGCGCGGAGCGCCAATCAGTTTATGCTTATATGACGCTTTCGTCCTTCGCGCTCCAGCGAACGGCCACTCCCTACGCGCAGCCGACAGCCTTGCCCCCGAGTGCCGCTCCAGCCAGCGCTGCCGAGCGGTGCGCCGCCCGCAGGCCCCCCCCCGTGGGGCGCGCCACCCTGAGGCGGCCCTCGGGGCGGCGCCGCCGGCGGCAGGGTCGTCTGGGGCGGCGGCGTCGGCCGGGGCTGCGGGGGCGCCTGGGGTGGCGGGCTCGCCGGCGGCAGCTGCCCGGTGCCCGAGCCGTGCAGGGGCTCGCCTGCAGAGGAGAAGGAAGCGGCGGAGACATACCCAGACCTCCTCGCGCTGGGAAGAAATCACGACGGAGGGCTTTGCGCTATGTTCGGCCTCCAGAGGGGCCCTTCCTGGGCCTCGGGATCGTCCAAAAACGGCACAGGATGAAACAGCGGTCCCAGGGGATGAATGGGTCGAGACCTTAGTGGGCCCTGGAAACGACAAGGCCGTTTTTTTACCGGTTCCGTTTTGCCGTTTTCTTGCCGGTTCCGACGCCGTTTTTTTTACCGGTTCCGTCGCCGTTTTTTGACCGGTTCCGCCTCCGGTTCCAATCCTGGAGCCGTTTTTGTTGCCGTTTCCGGTCGCCCTTTTTTTTGCCGTTTCCATGTTCAAGGCACACGTTCTCGGAAACGGTGAAAAAACGGCCCTGCCCGTTTCCGGGGCCCACGAAGGTCGAGACCCCAGGGGGTCGACGCTGCGAAAAGGCCACGACGTCGCGGATCCGGGAAGAGGACACGGCCGAAGCACATACGGTCGGTGTCGCGGCCGCGGCCCCGGCGGCACGCAGCGCCTTGGCACCTGGCAGGCGGCTGGCGCGCCGCTCCGCTCCGCGGGGCCCGGAGGTGGGGACGCGCTCGGCACGCTGGCGCCCGGGCGTGGACAGCTCGTCGCGCCGAAGCGTGATCCACCGCCGCTCTGCTGCGGAAAACTCCCCCCGCCTCTTCCTCCGGAACCCGAGGGTGCCCCCCCCTCCGAGATTCCCCCCCCCTCGCCCTGCTCGAACCGCCCCCCCGCCCCCGGCAACCTCCCCCCCCCTCCCTCCCACCCCCCGCCGCCCACCCAACCCCCCCCCCCCGGACAACCGGAGGAGGGTCACTACCGGTTCGACCCCCCCCCGCTCGCCGCCGGCAGACGACTCCAAGGTTGCAGCACCGTCCTCACCACCACCGTCCCCACCACTGTTCCCACCACCGCCGTCCCGACCAGTGTCCCACTGTCCCCACTGTCCCCACTGCCCCCGCCACTGTCCCACTGTCCCCATTGTTCCCACCACTGTCCACTGTCCCCACCAGTGCTCCCAACACCTTCGCACTGTCCCAACCACTGTCCCATTGTGCTGTCCACCATTGTCCCCACTGTTCCCACCACTGTCCCACTAGTGTCCCCACCACTGTCGCCATTGTCCCACTGTCCCATTGTCCCACCACCGTCCTCACCACCGCCCTCACCACTGGCCCTACCACCACCGTCCCCACCACTGTCCCTCTGTCCCCAGTCCCCACCACTGTCCTACTGTCCCCTCACCACTGTCCCCACCACCACCGTCCCCACCACTGTCCCACTGTCCCCACTGTCCCCACCACTGCCCCGCTGTTCACACTGTTCCCACCACTGTCCCCACTGTCCCCACCAGTGCCCCCACCACTGTCGCACTGTCCCCAGTGTCCCCACTTCTGTCCCCACCACGGTCCCACTCTCCCCACTGTCCCCACCACTGTCCCCACCACTGTCCCCACCACTGTCCCCACCATTGTCTCACTGTCCCGACTCCCCACCACCATCCCCACCACCGTCCCAACCGCTTTCCCCACCACAGCCCCCCATCCGGAGTGGGGGAGGAAAGGAAGTCGTTTGCCGGCGGCGAGGAGGGGGGGCAGTTCGAACCGGTAGCGACCCCCCCCTTTTTCATGATGGACCAGTGGGGGGGGTTGGAACCCCCAATGCCCCCCCGCGGTTTCCGAGGGGGGGTCGGAACCCCCCCGTGTTTTCTGCCAGCAGCGGCAGAACACGCTCTTCCCAACATCACGACAAAGCTCTCGACCGTAGACTATCCAGATCCCCCCGCGCTGCAACAAAAATCATGACGAGAAGTTTTTCGCTATTGTCGGTCTCCGGGGGCCCTGCCCGGGCCTCGAGACCGTCAAAAAACTATTCAGGACGAAAAACCGCTCCCGGGGAAGGGATCCAGATCTCCGGGGGTCGACGCTGTGAAAAAAAAACACGACGTCGGGGGTCTGGGTAATTTGCGTCGAACGATCCCCACCGCAGCCTTGCTGGATGCGTCTCGGGTGTTGCGGGGACGGAGTGGCGCCGTAACGCCCGCAATGCGGGATGGGGGCGAACGCGAAACCCTCGACGGCCCGCGGGGATCTGTTGCAATGGCGCTCGGACCCCCCCCCCGGCGGCGCCACCAGCGCCGCCCCAGCCAGGGAGGGGGGTGCACAACGGATCCACGAAATGCGCGCGGCTTCGTCGACCCCCAGAGGTATGGACCCCTTCCCAGGGACCGGTCTTTCATCCCGAGTCATTTTTGGACCATCCTGGGGCCCGCTGAGGGCCCCCAGAGGCGGAACATAGCGAAAAACCCTCCGTCGCGATTTTGCTCATGCCACAGCGCGGGGCGGTCTGGGTCTGTTCTTCCTCGAGCTCGCCCGCGGGGGGCGGCATCTCCCTGGGAGGCGGCATCTGCCCGCCGTGCGGGGACTCGCCCGCGGGGGGCGGCATCTCCCTGGGAGGCGGCATCTGCCCGGGGTGGGCGCCGTGCGGGGGCTCGCCCGCGGGGGGCGGCATCTCCCCGGGAGGCGGCATCTGCCCAGGGCGGGCGCCGTGCGGGGGCTCGCCCGCGGGGGGCGGCATCTCCCTGGGAGGCGGCATCTGCCCAGGGCCTGGTGGCGGCATCTGCGCAGGGGGCGGCATGTGTCCAGGGCTGTAGTCCTTCGGCCGCTGCCGGCCGGGGCCCCACGGGCGATCTCGATCCCTCCGCACATGCCCGCAGGCAATCCCGAGACTCCATGGCGTAACCAGCTTTCTGTGCAAGCCAGGCGTGTTCGTATTATTTCAGGCCCTGGGGCCCTCAGGTGGGGTCCCAGAGATCCGATGTCGTGATTGTTTCAGCGCGGGGTCCCCACGAAGTCTCGACCCATTGCCTGGGACCGGTGTTTCATCCTGAGTCGTTGTTTGACCGGCCTGGGGCCCGGCGAGGGCCCCTATAGAGGCCGGAAGCTGTAAAAAACCTTGGCCTTGATTTGCTCCATGCGTTGGATCTCTGGGCTCCTGGGCTCTTGCCACGAGATCTCGCGATATGTTGTCTTCATGGTCGCGCCGGCGGATCTCGAGGGGGCCCGGCCCTCTCGCGGCAGGAGCTGCGCAACCTCCAGCGCCCTGGGCAGCCCGACCGAGCTCTCGGCCGGGGGCCACATGCGAACCTTACCCCTCCCCCCCCACGGCTTCTGAGGGGGAGGGGGGGGGTTCTCTTCGCGCGGGAGCTCCCGAGCGAAGTGACCCCCCCCCCCCTCCCCCTCAGAAATCGTGGGGGGGAGGGGTCGGGTTCGCATGTGGCCCCCTAAGAAGGACCACCCCGAGGCCTCCTCAGCTCAGCACCGGGCCCAGGCCCCCCGGCCCCTGGCAGGGCGTGGGGGCCAGGTGATGTCCCGCCGGGGCCCGGGTCTCGACCCTCTGCGCCCTTCCCCTCCCCCCCCTCCCTCGTCCTCTTCCCCTCTCTCTCCGTCTCCGTCTCTGTCCCTGTCCCCTCTTTCTCTCTCCCTGTCCCTGACTCCAGATCCGCCCTACTGTGGCTTCTCTCCCACGTAAAATTGCGTCGGAAATCCACCTATAAGAAGCCGAACATGTAGGGCTGACATTTCTGCACCCAACATAGAATAGGGCGGAAATCCACAGAAGTAGGGCGGAAACAGCAACAGAAAAATAGGGCGGAAATTGGCATCAACAGGGCTTGAAAAGCAAGGCGGAAATTCTAAGCCCTACTTGCGAATTTCCCCAAAGTAGGGCGGATGGGGAGTCAGGGTTTCCCTCGCTCGCTCTCTGCCCCCTCTCAGACCTCCAACGCCATGGCTTCTGTCCCCCCCGTGCTCTCGGCCCCTTTGCTGTCCAGGGGCCCTGTTTCGTCGCGGGGGGGGGGGGCCTCTGATTTGAGCAGGGACCGACCGTCCCAGCATTCCTATAGTCCTACCACGAAATGTTCTCAGAACCCCAAAAAGTTCTAAGAGAAAAACACGGCTCTTAGAACATAATCCGGACGTGCTACAGCAAGACAATCTCAACCAGAAATGTTATAAGAACATTTCGTGGAAACCACCAAAGGTTCTTAGAACATTGTTTGGTAGGGCTATAGGCGAGCCAGGACGCTTCGCCACTGCCTGACTGGTCGCGCCGTGCCTCGTCGCAAGCAGCCCCTCGAGGCCCGGGCACGCAGCCCGGCTTCCCCTTCAGAGGCGGGGCCCGCCGCTGCGCTCGCTGTTCGTGATCACCCCATCCCCCACGCGAGCGGCCGCCGACCCGAGCCAATGCGCATTTCCTCCTGCTCCTCCTCCTGCTCCTCCTGCCTGCCTCAACCTTCCTCCTCATTCTCCTCCACCTCCTCCTTCACGTGGCGGCAAGCGCTGGATCATGCGCACACGCCCTGTCCTCATGCTGCTTTCGTTCCGACCACCCCGTGCTGATAGGGTACTCATTTTGAAGAGACAGCGTCCCGCGTCACTCCTTCGTTCCTCCTTCCTCCTCCCGCTGCTCCCTCCTCCCACCCCTGCATCTGCCCTCCAAACTATCATTTCGGCGCCCCTCACACGCTTCGTGGCCTAATAGGTAGCTCTACCGAAGGCCCCAGTGGCAGGGTTCGCATGCGGTTCCTCGACTGTCGGCTAACACCTCACACGTGGCCCAACTCCACCGAAGGCCCCCGTGGCAGGGTTCGCATGCGATTCCGCGCCCATTTCGCTCGACACACCCCCTCACACGTTTCCTGCCCCATAGGGAGCTCCACCGAAGGCCCCAGTGGCAAGGTCCCCGCCCATTTCGGCACACCCCTCACATGTTTCGTCGCCCTTTACCGGGAGCTCCGCATAAGGCCAAAATGGTAGGGTTTGCATGCGATTCCCCTCTTATGTCGGCACGCCCCTTGTCCGCTTCGTGGCCCCACTGGACCTCCACCAAAGGCCACAGTGGTAGCATTCGGCTCCCCTCCCATGTCGGCACACCCCTCACACGTGTCGTGGCCCCAGGGGGGACTCCACCGAAGGCCCCCGTGGCAGGGTTCGCGTCCGGTGCCCCGCCCATTTCGGCACCACAAAGCTCGGTTGAAAGTTTCAACGGTAGGGTTCGCATTCGGCTCCCCACCCATGTCGGCACACCCCTCACGAGCGTCGTGGCTCCATAGGGAGCTCCAACGAAAGCCCCCGCGGCAAGGTTCGCTTGCGACTTCCCGCCCATCTCGACACACCTCTCACACGCTTCGTAGCCCCATAGGGAGCTCCACTGAAGGCAACGAACGCCCCAGTGGCAGGGTTTGCATGCGGCTCCCCGCCCATCTCGGCACACCCCTCAGACGCTTCGTGGCCCCATCGCAAGTTCCACCGAAGGCACGAGTGATAGGGGTCGCATGTGTCTCCCCGCCCAGTTCGGCACAGCAGCCCTCATACGCTTCATGGCCCCAAAGAAAGCTTCAACGAAAGCCCCCAGTGGCAGGGTGCTCATGTGGCTCCCCGCCCATGTCGGCACACCCCTCACATGCTTCGTGGCCCGATGAGGAACTCCACCGAAGGCCGCAGTCGCAGGGCTCGCATGCGGTTCCCCACCCAGTTCGGCACGCCCCTCACACGCTTCGTGGCCCCATACAAAACTCCACCGAAGGTTCCAATGATAGGATGCGCATTCGGCTCCCCACCCATGTCGGCACACCCCTCGCACGCGTCGTGGCTCCACAGGTAGCTCCAACGAAAGCCCCCGTGGCAGGGTTCGCATTCGGCTCCCCGCCCAGTTCGGCACACCTCATTCGGCTCCCCGCCCATTTCGACACACCTCACACATTTTGTGGCCCCATCGAGAGCTCCACTCTCGGCGAGTCGGGAGGCTCCGCCACCGCTTGACACTCGGACACCCTCTTGAGGCCTCGGCTCCGCAAGAATTAAGTCGGACATGTCCTCCTACAGGCGGATTAGGAAGACAAGTAAGAAATAGTCACACTAATATTCTAGAGTAGTCAAGAGAGCACAGAACATCGTGAACATACGATTGTCTTAGTATTCTTGGGCATTCCTCCTGTAGAAGCCAGAAGCCTCCCAAATGGGAGGCCTGGAAAGACGTCGGGTGGCTTTCGGGTTGTACCTCGGGCCTCTCGCGTCCTACCTCGGGCCTCCAGCAGCCGATCGGGCCGATCCGGGCGCCCCCGGGAACGCTCTCGATACGACGTTTGCCTGCGAGTCGCTACACGGGGGGCCCTGGCGCCGCGCTGCCCCCTGCAGGTGTAGATAGCGTGCGCTGCTTCGCTCCGTGGGGCTCGGAGGGGCCTGGAGAGGCTCGGCGTGTGGACGTCTCCGGGGGATCGCCTCGAGGCGCGGGGGGCGTGGGGCGGCGGGAGCGGGACCGCGCTGTGGGCCAGAAGTTCCCGACCGCATATCTGGCCATCGCTCGGACGTCCATTCCCTGTGTTTTTTTCGGTTTCGTGCGTGGTTTCTTCGGCAAATGATCAAGGATGCTCTCGATGGTCCTCGCCGATGAAAAAACGCACACGTCCGAGCGATGCCAGGATCTAGGCGAGTCAGGACGCTCAACCATTGCACATATCGGTCGGAAGACGTAGGCAAACCCGCGAAGTAGGAAGGCGGATCAAGCATATTTGGGTTCAGGCCCTCCCGGAGAATGACAAAGCACAGCAAAGCCAGGTCGGCTCTTGAAGTGGGAAGGCGCTTGAAATACATTGGGAATTGGGGATCAAAAGTACCTACTCTCAACGGCTGGCTTGCGCTTGACAATCGGACGCCCGGTGGAGCACACAAGGGGGCACAGGGAGGGGGGAGGGCTATTTACAAGGAGGCTGCCTCTCAGCAGGTGCCGGCCGCGCCTTCCAAGCAGGGGAGGGAGTGCTTCTGAGAAGCCATCCCCACTCCCGAGTATTGCCTATCCGATCCCTATCCCCATCACTAGCGGCGTAGCCAGGGCCCCACTGGCCGATTTCCCCCGCCCTAGATGGGGATGTGGGCTGTTTCCTTCGGGTTTCGGAAGGCATGTCTCCAACTAGGGCGGCGAGATAGTGGGGCTCGGGAGGGGGGATAGGGACCCAGACCCCCGACGTCGTGATTTGTTCGAAACCTCAAACCCCAAAGGTCTCGACCCATTCCCTAGGACCAGTTCTTCATCCTGAGTCGTTTTTTGAAGGTCCAGAGGCCCGGTGAGGGCCCCCAGAGGCCCCAAAAGAAGGAAACACTTAGCGTCGTGACCCTTTCATGACTCGAAGGGGTCTGGGGAGGGGGAGATACGACGACGACGGCGACGATGACGACGACGACGACGACGACGACGACGGCGGCGACGACGGCGGCGGCGGCGACGACGGCGGCGACCACGACGACGGCGACGACGACGTCTGCGCGTGGCTGAGGGAGGCCTCCCTCCGCACTGTCCTCGTCCGGCGCCGCGCCCGCTCCGGGCGGCGCGCCCCGCGCCTCCGCCGGCGGCAGCGGCGGCTCCCCGACGGCCGGCGCCGCGGGCGGCTGGGCCTCCTGTCTCGAGGGGCTGGAAGTGCCGGCCCCGGACCCCCTCGAGCAATGAAAAAATCATCACGGGAGGTTTTTCCTAATTTTCGGCCTCGGGGGGACTCACCGGGCCTCGGGAGTGTCAAAAAACGACTCAGGATGCAAAGCCGGTCATGGAGAAAGGGTCGGGACCTATACGGGGGTCGACGTAATGAAAAAATCGTTACGTCGGGGGTCTGGGGCTCCAGACCCCCCTCGCGCTGCGACAGAAACTCCGGCGCGGGGGGGTTTTCGGGATTCTCAGCCTCCAGGAGGTCCTGCCCGGGGGCCCCCGGACCGTCAAGATGAGCCATTTAAAGACGGCTCGGGACGAAAACTCGGCCCCGGGGAAGGGGTCCGGACCTCTGGGGGTCGACGTTGCGAACAAAAATCACGACGTCGGGGGTCTGGGAGTGCCGGTTAGCGGTCAAGCATCCCTGCAGCAACTCCGGTGAGATTGCAGCTTGCCCCAGAAGCGTTTTCCTCTTCGTTCCCAAAGCGCTTCCGGGAAGCCTTGTTCCGCAGCTGCTTTCGAAGCTTGCTGGAGCTTCTGCGAAGGCCCCGTGCTCAGGTGGGGACAGCCTGGGCTGCCTCTGCTTTGATCGTCGGGTGGCTGTAAGTGCGGTAAGAGCGTTCATCTTACATAATCTTAGTTAAGGCATAGAACGTACACTTGTTGATCGCGCATCTCATGTGTGCATATGCAATACTTATGGTGTTTGTAAGTGTAGATGTAAGTAATATACTAAGTTAGATATCTCTGCTAAGTCGATGGGGCTGAACATATTCGTGTTTTTGCTAATCATTTGCGTATTTTTTATTCTTAACTTTTTTGAAATCCATTGAATTTCCGTTGTTGTTGTTGTTCAGTTGTTCAGGACCGAGGCGCCGCAGGTACTTGCTGTACCTCGCGGCCGCGGCGCTGCGGGCTGCGCGCATGCCCGCGGGGAGGGGGGAGGGAAGGAGGAAAATGTTTATCCATGTGTCTTCGGCCCTCCCTTATCCTCCCTTTCCTTCGGCGGCGTACCGCCTTCTCCTCCGTCGCCTCGTCCTCCGTCGGCGGTAAACCGCCTTCTCCCCCCCCCATGGCGGCAATCCGCCTTCTCCCCCTCCGTGGCGGCAAACCGCCCTTCTGGCGGCAAACCGCCTTCTCCTCCTCTGGCGGCAAACCGCCTACCCCTTCTGGCGGCAAACCGCCTTCTCCTCCTCTGGCGGCAAACCGCCTACCCCTTCTGGGGGCAAACCGCCTACTCCTCCTCTGGCGGCAAACCGCCTTCTCCTCCTCGTGGCGGGAAACCGCTTCTTCCCAACCGCCCTATCGGCGGCTTGCTTTGCCGCCTCCTTCCACCCCCTCGGCGGCAAGCCGCCCACCCCTTTCCCCCCTCCCCTCCCTGGCCTCTCCTTGACCCACCCTCCCCCATAGCTCTCTTCTTCCCCCCCGCGCACCCTTCGGCACCCCCTCCCCCGCCCCCCCTTCGACACCCTCTCCCCCCTGCGCCCCCCCTCACCCAGGAGGAGGAGGAGGAGGAGGGAGAGGAGGAAGAGGAGAAGGAGGAGGAGGAGGAGGGGGAGGAGTGGGGGAGGGGGAGGAGGAGGAGGAGGAGGAGGAGGGGGAGGAGGAGGAGGAGCAGGAAGAGCAGGAATAGGATATGTCCGTCGCACGCGCGTTGGCTCGATCAGTTTTTGGCGAGCCCTCCTCCGAGGGCTTCGGGCGGCGTGCGCGCGCGGGAGTCGCGCACTCCGCTCGGCGCGCGGTCGCGCCGCATCGCTGCCATGGAGGGCATCCTTCGAGGCCGCCTGGAGGAGGCGCGGGCGGCGTTCGTAGCGCGCGGCAGTGCGACGGAGCACCTTCCTGCCTGCATCCAGGCGGCGACGTCCCAGCGCTGGTCGCAGCTCCAGAGTGCGCAGTTTGCTGCTTTGGGCGGCGGCGTGGGGTGGGCGCAGTCCGAGCTGGGAGACTTCTTGCAGGCTCTGTCGTCGGGCAGCCTGCAGGGGAGGAAGCTCCAGAACTACGAGGGGTTCATTGAATTTCTGACGCCTCAGTTGTGGGAGTTCGTGCTCTCGCCGCATTCGGGCTTCACTGCCAAGATGGCGGCGTTCTCAGAGCACCTCGGGGCGCTTGGCCTGAGGCATCCGAGCTGCCCGACGGCCGCCAATATGGCAGCATTCTTGTTGCTGGTGTGCAAGCAGACAGGCGTGGAGACGGGCGAGATCACGAGGGAGCTGTTGCAGTCATATCTGGCCACAGTGAAATCCTCGTTCAAGAATCTCGTGGCGACGATGCCGCCGCCCAGGGATGGCATCCAGGCTCTCCCCATCACGCCTGGGAGGCTCCAGTCTCAGTACCCCATCACGTACGTCGACGCCTTCCCGCCAGGTGTTGGAGCGACGGCGCCGCAGATAAATCCCGTCGAGATGGTGACGATTGCGAAGCTGATTAATCTCCGTGCAGGGAAGAAGAGCGGCCACCTCGCGCTGCCCGCGCCTGCGCCCGCCCGCGGCGGGCTGCAGCCATCCCACGGCCCAGGCGGCGGCTCTCCTCAGCAGCACCTCCCCATCGCGGCGGCCGATTCGTTCTCTGGGCGCTGGCCGACGGCTCCACGGGGAATAACAGAACGCATTCCCCCGCGGGACACCTGGTATTGGGTCGAGGGGTGGGTTCCTGGATCGGCGCGGGGCACGTTTCTGGATGCCTGGATGGAGGGCGTGTTGTGAAATATTCCCCCCCCCATCCCCCTAGGGGGACGGGGGGGGGGGAATATTTTCGTTCGGCGGTGATCCGCCTGATTTCAGGTGGGGCTTTCGCGCAGCGGCGGCCGCTGGCCCAACCCAGCCATCCAGCTGATCGACCGCTCGCAGACGCAGCAGCCGCAGGAGCCGTTGCAAGAACGAGCAGGTTCGAACCACCAGCTTTCGATGGCGGCGGGGAGTTCGGATGCGCCGTCGACGCAGCAACTGGCGGCACACGATGGCGGCAAACCCGCCGACTGTCAGCCGTTATCGAGCACCGCCGCCGCCCAAACGGCCTCGATCAGCAAGAGCCGCGCGGCGAAGAAGCAGAAGAAGCATGAGCTGCCGATCGAGCTCGACTCCGACTCCGACTTCGGCATCGTCGCCGTGACGCCGCCGCCCAAGGCTGAGAAGGTCGGCATCGCCGCAGGCTCTCTGAAGAAGACCCCGACGGAGGCGGCTCTGGCCATGGTCGCGGCCATGGATAAGAGGACGAAGGCGGTCAAGACGAAAAAGAACGCCGAGGCGGTGAAGGCCCCCACGCTTGCCACGGGCAATGCTGCTAAGAAGACGACGCCGCCTGGCAATGACAACGCGGCAAAGAAGACGACGCCGCCTGCCACGGGCAACGTGGCTAAGAAGACGCCGCTCCCCACGGGCAAGAAGACGGACGGCGCGGCTGGGAAGGACAAGCAGCGCAAGTGGGCGAAGCCGAGGTGGGAGATGCAGACCACACGCAACTTGGCGAGCGGGGTTGAACCTCCCACCGATGAGGCGTCGGGCGCGCGCGGCGATTCCCAGCAGCCCCGCTGGGGTCGCAGTTTGCGCGCCCGCCGCCTTTCAGGCGACTGTTCATCGTTGCTCCGCCCCCCAGGTGCAGTTCCGCAGCGGCAGGGTCGGCGTCCCTGGCAGCAACGTCAGCCTGAAGTACATCGCGGGCGATGAGGCCGACAAGGCCAGATTCTCACCGACGCCCTTCTCGACGCCCTCCTCCGCGCTCTCTTCATTTTCGCCCCTGCCTCGACGCCCCCTCCGCCCCCTGCTGCCTCGTTGCGCCCGATCGCTCCGAGGCCAGGGCCATCGCGGAGGCGGAGGAGCTGGTCAAGAAGGAGCTCGCCGCCAGGGCGCGCGGCGAGTAATTCGCGCTACGACTCTTCAACTCTCCAGGCCAACGGGGCGGCCTCGGGATAACAAAAAGGTCGTGGCGGATATGCCGCCTCGTGGCGGATATGCCGCCTTGTAGCGCAGCCTTCTCGCCTTCCAACTCGTGGCGGACATGCCGCCCCCGCCCCACCCCTTTGCGCTCCTCCGCCCTTCAGGCGGACATGCCGCCGCCCCCCTCCCCTAATCGGCCCACTCCGCGCCCCCGCGCCACGTCCCTGCGCCCCCCTCTCCGCTGTCAGGCACTGGATCCCACGCCAACTAACGTCGGGGAGACGCCCACTGCTCGAACGGCGAAGGCGTTCACCCAGAATGGCATGGGCGCGCGCGAAGGCACCGACGTTGCCACCGCCCGTTCAACGACGAAAACAAGTGAACCAAGACCTGCACATTCAAAGGGACACCAGTTCACTTATATTTCTGGTTCCCAATGCCACCCTCACTCTGCCCCCTCCCCCGAGACCCCGTCGCAAGAACCAGCGGGGCCCTTCTGAGAGGCCCCCGAGGGCTCGAGGAGCTCCAAGACTTCAATGGGTCCATGGGCAACCCCCTCCCCCTCCTCCCGAAGTCTCGCTTCCGCGTCCGATTCCATTTCGGTTCAAGCCCGCGGCCCGCGGGTGCCCGCGAGCCCGCGCGGGGTCGGCCCCCCCCTTTCGCGCCGACGCGTGGGCTGGGGCCCGCGCGCCGAGGCTGCGCCGCAGCCACCGCGTCGCGCTCGGCGCCTCGCACTGCGGCCGCGGCCATGGCAGACAGCGGCAGCGCGTTCGACGCGTTGGAGGCAGCTGCATCGCCAAAACAAGTGGCCCCGCGTGCGGTAGCCAGGGACGCGCGCATCGCGCGCGAAACTGGCTGGCCGCTCTCGGTCGAACTGTTTTGGCGATTCGGCGCAGGAGATGTTCGGGCCAGCGATGCAGTTGCTCTCCGACCTTGCGGGCGTGGACAACAACGCAGGGGATCGGTCTTCCTCCGCCAGCGGCAGTCGGCCAGCCAGCGCGCCCACGTTGGCGGCGCAGCCAGCGCGATCGCGCAGCCCGCGCCACCCGCGGGCACCGTCGACGCCGCCGCGCAGGCGGGGGCCGACGTCACCGCCGCGGGACCCGCGGCAGCGGCCTTTCCCGCCCTCGGCTCTCGTGCAGGAGCTCGCGTCGCACATGCGGGGCGCGACGCCTGTGGTGGAAGAGCCCCCCGAGGCGGTGGAGGCGCATCCCAGCGCGGTGGAGGCGTTCAGGGCGCAGCTGCGAGCCTGGCTGAGCGACCCCGTTGGGAATCCCATCGACTGGCGGTCGGAGACCGTGCTCGCCGTGCTCAAGGAGTACCAGATGAAGTACGACTACAAGAAGTTCCGCGACCGCGGCCCGCCTGGCCCCGCCATGGGCGGGCCGCAGACGTGGCAGGGCCAGGCGTGGCGCGCCAATGCGAAGCGCTGGGGGAACCGAGGTGGCGCAAAGCGCGAGATGTACGCGAAGCTGCACGGCAACAAGGCAGCGCCGCGGGTGCGCGAGGCGCACGTTCCCAAGCCTCAGCTGATGCATCGGGAGCCCATGGCGCCGAACTTGCCCAAGACGATGCCTCAGCAGGCGCCGTGGAGGAGGACTGGCAATATGAACCCTCCAGCTCCGCCTCCGCCGCCGAAGACCATGGGGCCGCCGCCGCCGAAGACCAGGCAGCCGCCAGCAGGGAAGCCCAGCATGGTGCAGCCGAGGGCAGGGCGTCGGCTGCAGCCGACAAGCAAGATGGCACCACCGCCAGCGAAGCCGCGCCCGCCCGCCCGCGGAGATGTCTTCTTGTAGGGTGATCGCGTGGACCTGCAAGCGGGCTGGGGTGCATAGCTTCCGTAATTCGAGCGCGGATAGTTGCAGCTATCCGCGCTGACGCGTCATGACGCGCCGCCTCTCCCCGCCTCGTCTCATCTCATCTCTCCTCCCCTCTCTTCGTTGCCGATCTATCTCATTGGCGGACGCGCCGCCTCCCCCCGCCTGGCGGACAACCGCCGTTCAGATACGAGCATCGGCGCATCGGGTTTGTTCTATGCGGTTGGAAAAAAACACCAGTCCTTCCCTGAGCCACCCATTGGCGGCTAAACCGCCCTGAAGCCTCCATTGGCGGCCACGCCGCCCATTGGCGGCTAAACCGCCCATTGGCGGCCACGCCGCCCTGAGCCCTCCATTGGCGGCTAAACCGCCGCCACCGCCTGCTGACATCCCGAAATGTGCGATGCCACCGCGCCTCTTACACATGTATGTTTTTGTTGTTGGGACGTTGTATCGGCTCGAATCTAGACGCGCACAGGCTCGCGCCCCACGCCGCCCCTGCGCTAGCCGCGCACTTCTCGCCCTGCCGCCATGGCAGGCCAGCAGAGCGAGAAGACCGTCATGTTCGGCTTCAAGTGCCCACAGAGCAGCAGCTGCAAAAGGGGCGGCAAGTGGTTCCAGGGAGAGACAGTGGAGGAGGCCAGGAACAAGCTGGTGAACCACCTTCACGTGTCGCCGTACCACAGCTTGAGCGAGGACGAAGCGGAGGTAGCTGCTATCGCACTCGAGCCCGACTCGTGGGAAGTCGACCTCGCGGAGTGGCGCCAATGGGAGGAGGAGAAGACCAACTGGGGCTCCGCCAAAAGGCGCAAGGGGGCGCCGAAGGTCGAGCTGGCGCCAATCCCTCCACAATCCCGCGTGGAGCGCTCGCACCAGCTGAAGGACGCGTTCTCGGAGGGCAGCGGATCGTCAGGCGCAGCTTCGTCAGCCACGGCGGGCATGAGGATGTCCACGGCGTTGGCCAGCCAGATGTCGCCCGATAGCATCGTGGTGCTCAACGGCACCCAGTGCCAGGCTGTGCTCGACTCGTTGCGCCGCGCGCGTACTGCGACGCAGATGTGCGCCCAGATAGCGGAGCGCGCGGTGAACGCTTTCCGCCAAGAGGAGCAATGCATCGCCGAGTGCGAGGACGTGCTCGCGAGCTGGCTGGTGCGCAACGCGACCTCGTAGGTGCAGGTGCACGGCTGGCAGCACTGATGTCGCCTCAGCATCAGTAGCCTCATTCGCGCAGGCGGCGCGACGCGTCGGCCCTACACGCCCCCCTCCCACTCCTCCAACGCAATTTCAATCCACACCCCTGTGTCAGAACAAATTAGGACACCCCCACACACTCCATCCGCACTCAATTCGTGAAGGCCGCCACGCCGAGGTGAATTTTGGCCACGCAGGCGGCCGAGTAGCCGTCCCCCAATGCAAGGCGATATGGGGGCGAGTGGACGAGCGGAGCGGGAGGAAGGTGAGGGAACTTCGGCGGATAAGACAGGTGGGCGGTTGGATGGGATTTGGCAAAAGGGCTGGGTGGAGAAAACTGCATCCGCATAAGAATGAGTGCGGCTATTTTCTGGATGTGCTGCATCGCCATGTCCGCCCACCCCCCCATCGCCTTGCATATGATGACGCTCAGGCAGCGCGCCCCGATTTCGCGCGCTCGCCCGTCTCTTCGCTGCCGCTCAGGCAGCGCGCCTCGCTTCCGCGCTCGCCCGTCTTTTCGCTGCCGCTCAGGCAGCGGTTTGAAGCACGCGGCGCCGTCCGCGGTCGGTAGCGCAGGGCGCCGCTCCGCCCCTGCTGCTCCGCTTAACTAACTCGGCGGACGTGCCGCTACGCCGCCGCCATGCACTGGCAAAAAAACGTTGGCTGTTATCATATGTTAGCATATGTTATCACGCGCCTGATAACACCTGATAACACCTGATAACACCTGATAACATGTTATCAGGTGTTATCATGTGTTAGCATGGTGTTATCACACGCCTGATAACATATGATAACATATGATAACATGATGTCAATTTTGTGTGGTTGTCATGTTGCGCGCAATTCATTTCAGTATCCGTATCACCTCGTGCGTCCGCCACGCTTCGAGCGGCTAGTCCGCTGGCGGCCAATCCGCCTCCCTCGCCGCGCCCCTGCACCCTCTCAAGCGGCGAGTCCGCTGGCGGATATGCCGCCCCCTTCATACCTCACTCCACCCCTCCCTCCACCTTTGAAGCGGCTATTCCGCTGGCGGCTATCCCGCCTCACTTACCGCGCGTTTTCTTCGTCATCGCTTCGCGTCCAGCTCATCTTGGCATCAGGGCCGCGCGCGACGCGCGGCTTCTCGCGTGCCAAGGCGGTCACGCCGCCATGGCGGGGACGCCGCCCGCTGAAGATCACCAGCAGCATTCTCTGGCAGTGCTGTTCGGAGCAGCCAGGCCGAAAAACAAGGGAGTGATGACCAAGGCGCCCGCAGCGAAGCCCCGTGGGAAAGCTAAGCTATCGGGGACGCAGCTGACACTGACTGGACAGCTTGTGCCGCCGCTCGCATTGACCGACGCAGGGCCGCCGAAGGCACGCGGGAAAAGCAAAGGCAAGGGCAAAGGTAAGCACCCCGCAGCGTTGAGGACGGCTCGCAAAGCTGCGTCAGCCGCAGCTCCCGCCGAAGAACTGCCTCCTCAGGGCGCAGCGGCTTTGCCACCAGAGCCGGGCGACGCAGCGTCAGAGGCGGCATCGGGCTCCGAGGAGCGCGGCGACGAGATTGGTTCCGAGCTCGGCGTCAAACAGGATGAGCTTGAGAGTGCCAAGCGTGAGCTTGAGGAGGAAGAGGCTCCACCGCAGGGCGCGGTAGCCAAGGTTGAGAATGAGGAGCGCTCGCCCGAGGCGGCAGCGCCGCAGGCGGAGGAGGAGGAGGCAGCTCAGGACGATCCGCCAGCAGGCGCTCCCCAGGTAGGGGAGTTCGTGGATGTGCATGGCATCGGGCATAGCATCGTGCGTTGCAACCGCTGCTGTCGCACGGCAAAGGAGTGCAACTACAGGATCAGGGCGAAGGGCCAGTCGACTTACCAGTGCGACGCGTGCAACACGAACGGGGTGCGCCTTTCTCGGAGGTTCGGACAGTGGCCGCCAAAGTGTTTCGCCAAAATGAAGAGTGAGTTCAAGCAGCAGTTCTACAAGGATCTGGCAGAAGATCCTGGGCTGTCGAACCTCGATCGCATTGAAGCCTTCGTGGTCAGCTCAATCACTGTCCAACGGATGGAGGAGGAGCGCGTCCGCAAGGGTGGCAAGTACCTTCCGCTGAGGAAGTGGGCGCACGACGGCTTCGACGCGAAAAAGATTGAAGATAATGTGCAGGATAAGAGGTGGAACCCTGATCTCGGGGAGTGGACGTACAGGCCGCAATTGGAGGCGGCCTGGAGCGAGACAGTGGAGGCCGCAGTGCGCAACGAGCTGTACACCGATAAGAGGACGCAGGCGAAGCAGAGCGGCCCGCGGGCAGCGGCCTCGACGGGCGTCGCAGAGCACGGCGGCGACAAGGGCGACAGAAGCGACGAGAGCGACATGTCCAGATCCAGGCGGCGCCGCAGGCGCAGGTCTGACAGCCGCAGGAGGAGGAGGCGCAGCATGAGCAGGCGCGACAGCAGGGGCAGGCGCGACAGCAGGAGCAGACGCCGCGACAGACGTCGCGACACCAACCGCAGCAGGAGCCGCTCGCGCGGCGACCGCGACAGGAGCAAGAGCCGCCGCAAGGGCAGGAGCAAGAGCCGCGGCAAGAGCAAGGACAGGAGCAAGAGCAGGCCGTTTGGGGGTTCAACGCAGGGGTGTCGCCTGGGCTTCGCATTCGTTTTCGGTTTCCGTTCAACTCTTCAGGTTCGGATCGGGTTATTGATTTCGCTCGGCTCGAAGTGTTGTCATTTTCGGACAACCCCGAAGGCTCCGCAGGGATAAGGACGCTGAGAAGGAGCGGAGGCGACAGGAAGCGAGGGAGAAGGCCGAGCAGGCCAAGAAGGAGACGCAGGAGAAAAACCTGGCGCTGAAGTGGATCGGCACCGCAACGAGGCTCGAGACAGAGCTGGACGGGTACCTCGAGCATGAGAAGGCGGACAAGGTGCCGTCATGGGCTGTGAAGAACGCGAAGGCGGCGAGGAAGTCTGTGGCAGTCATGAAGGCGGTGGCGCAGAAGCGCGTGCACAGCGGCGTGGCGTTGACGATCACGCAGGACGAGGCCATCAGCATCCAGAAGGATGCGAGCTCGGCGGCGAGGGCCATCGCGGGGATGCTCAAGGAGGCGCAGAAGCACAGCACCTGAGCGCCCCATGGTGGCCCAGTACATCATGAAGTACGGCCTGAAAAAGGTGGAGAAGGACCCGAATAAGCCGCGGCCGCTGGGCCGCTCGTGAGCAGGGGCGGCAGTTGGGCCGCTCCTGACGAGGTGTGTGATTTCGTATATACAATTGTTATTGTTGGTGAAACAACATTTCCACCGCCACCCCACTCGTTACCACCGCAGCCCTTCGTTTGGCGGGGATGCCGCCTTTCCACTCTCGCAAGCCCTTGGCGGACATGCCGCCTTGCCTTCATTTGGCGGAGATGCCGCCTTTGCTGCTCATCGCGCTCCGATGCCTCACTTGGCGAGGCGAAGCGCTTGCCTAACTCCCTCCTGCTCGAGCGCGTCCTGCCCGAGACCCTACCGCGCGAGCTGTGGCTCGCGAAGGCCAGCGACACCGTTGGGAATCCCATCGATTGGCGGTCGGAGACGAAGCAGAGGCGAAGCAGCTCCTTGGCAGGGGCGGCAGTTGGGCCGCTCATGACGAGGTGTGTGATTTCGTACAATTGTTATTGTTGTTGAAAAAAAAACATTTCTTCGTTGCCATCGCCACCCCACTCGTTACCACCGCAGCCCTTCGTTTGGCGGGGATGCCGCCTTTCCACTCTCGCAAGCCCTTGGCGGACATGCCGCCTTGCCTTCATTTGGCGGAGATGCCGCCTTTGCTGCCCACCGCGCTCGCACCGTTCTCTCGCGTTTCCCAATGACATGATCTGCCACCGTCCCACCCCTCATCCGTAGTCTTTGTGGCTCAAGTGGAGCCGCTCGAGGTCGTGCCCTTTCGCGGTCTTGCGCCGCCATGGCGAGCATCGCGGACAAGGACGACCTCGATGAGTTCGAGCTCATCACGGGTGGCAGTGCGTGGAGCTGGGCGACCATCGTGGTGCGCTTCATCGAGTGGCGCAATCGTTGCCGCCATGCACGCGCCGTTGGCATCAAGGGCCAGATGCTCATCGACAAGGCGCGGCGCATGATGGAGGAGGCGCGCCGCACCGAGGAGCGCGGCAAGATGCTGTGCCAGACGTCGAAGCAGATGGTGCAGGACATCCCAGGCGGCATTCGGTTCTTCTGCCGCCAGCCGCACCAGGAGAGCTGAGCGGCGATCGGCTGGGCCGATAGAGGAGGATAAGGAGGAAGAGGAGGCAGGATGAGGAGAGGAGGAGGAGGTGGATGAGGAGTTGGAGGCAGCACGCGCACCCGCACTAAGAGCCGCCAGCCGCCGCCGCGCCCGTCCCGCGCTGCGCCCGTCCCGAGCTCGAGCCGCCAGCCGCGCCCGTCTCCGAGCGCTGGCGGCTTGGAACCCGAGCTTGAAACTCAAGCTCGAAATTGCGTGCGAGAAAAAGAAATCTCCCTTGCAAGTTCCGTTGCTACGCTCACTTCGCGCCTCCGCAATCTCCCCCACCCACCCCCTTCCCCCCTCCCCCCTCCCCCCATGCCCCCCCGCCCCCACGCTCTTCGGCGGCTACGCCGCCCCTCCCGACCCTTCAGGCGGCTACACCGCCATGCCCTTCGGCGGCTACTCCGCCCCGCGATCCATTCCCGCCTCCACTTCCGTCTCTCTGGCTGCAATTCGTTTTTCTCAACCGCGCTGGGCCTCGCGCTGCCCCCCGCCCCCGCCCCTCCCGCGCGCGGGCGTCGGCGCAATGGGGAAACGCGCCCTGCAGGTGGACAAGCAGGTGGAGCAGCGGGCTCGACTGCAACAGTGTCTGGCCCTGCGCGGCGTGTCCGCGGCTTTGCTCGAGCGAATCGTGACTGCGCTTGGCCATGGCGACGACGCGGGCGATGCTATAGACGTGAGCGCTCGGGCCATGCAGCGATCGCAGACGGCATCCGTGGCCGATCTCATCAGCGCAGTGCGGCTGCAGCCCAAGATCGGCACGCCTTTCCGATGGAGCGTGGCGCTGCCGCATCGGCTGATGCCGAGGCTCCTGTCGGACTGCCCTCTCTGGAGTTCAATGTTTTGGGAAGCGATGCGCCGTTTCCCTGTGTCGCGCGATCGGCCGTGGAGGCTTTTGCTGTACTACGACGACATTGGCGTGGGCAACGCCTTGAAGATAGATAATCGTCGGAATCAGCTCGCGGTGTATGCGAGTTTCCTCGAGTTCGGATCCTTCTTGCAGAAGGAGGTTGCGTGGCTGCCGATCGGCACCTTGCGCGTCGTCGTGAAGAAGAGCATCGGCGGCTCGGCCGTGGCGCGGGCATTGCTTCGCGCGCTGTTCCTGGGCCCAGAGAGTCTGTCGGAGCACGGTGCGCCAATCGGCGGCGTGCACTTTTTCGCCAAGTTCCACCGCTTGATTGCAGACGAGGCGGCTGGAAAAGAGACATTCTGCACCAAGGGCGCTGCAGGTCTGAGACCGTGCTTGCAATGCAAGAACGTTGTGCTGGATCAGGCGGAATGTCTTGCAGACTACGACGACGATGATTACCTCGTGCCTCTCTGGTGCGCTGACTCGTCGCGCTTTGACCCGCTGTCGTCAGACGAGTTTTTGCAGCAATATGATGATTTGGCGTCGCTGCGGGACACGACAACCAGAGCGAACATCGAGAGACTGGAGCCAGGGAGGAAAACATTTCCATCGATCCCCTTCTGATGTCCCCCCCTTCCTTCCCTTCTGATGTTCCGGCCCCCGAAGGAGACGGCAATGGGCATCACTCTGGATGACCGTTCTCTGGTGGCGTGCCAGGCGTTGCGGACGGTGGCGCCGCCGAGCACATACGTGAGGGACCCCATGCATACCATGCTGGCCAGCGGCGGGACCTTGCAGGTCGAAATCTTTGCGCTCCTCAAGGCGGTGAGGGATGTCATCCCCGACGCGTGGGGAACGTGGCGGGATCGCTGCTCGGCGTGGCGGACTGGCAGACGCGGCAGGAAACCGCCAGCGTTTCTGTTCAGCGTGGCTCGGAAGAAAGCGACCTGCAAGGCGTCGCACTTCGTGGGCAAGGCGTCGGATTGCTTGGCCGTGTTCCCTTTGATTCGTCATTGGGTGCACACAGAGCTGCGTCCCAGCGGCATGGCGAACGCTGCGGCGCGGTCGTTCGAGGCGATGGCGAAGATGCTCGAATTGTACATGCAGGGCAAAAGGACATGCGGCCGCAGCTGAAACGCAAACGCTGGCCTGCGCGTTCGAGGATGCACCGCGTCGGCCCGCGCGCATCCTCGAGCGCTTAGGTGGCAGGCGGTTCGGCTACGTCCTGAGGATCGGCGCCGTGCCGAATTTGATAGCTGTCTGGACCAAGGCCGTTTCGATTTCCTTGGCGCTGCACAAAGCCGCGCACGGGCCAGCCCTGATCAAGCCGAAGCATCATTATTTGTGGCACGTCCCCGACCAGCCTGCGGAGGACGGCATCTGGTTGGACGCCTTCGTACTCGAGCGGAAGCACAACCTGCTTCGGTCCAGGTCGCAGGAGATCGACAACCCTGAGAATTTCGAGCGGTCGGCCTTGACGGCGATGCTCGCCTGCTTCCTGGAGGAAGCGAAGGAGGCGCCGCGCTCCCGCGCCAAAGCGTGGCGCACGCCAGAGCTGGACAGTACGTTCGGGCACTCGGGGCGCAACCTTGCATGCCCTTTGTGGAGGAAGATGGGCTGGGAGAGGGGAAGGCGGTTTGCCGCCGAGGCGGCTCGCCGCCAGGAGGAGGAGGAGGAGGAGGAGGAGGAGGAGGAGGAGGAGGAGGAACCCCTCCGCAGGGCTGAAACGTGGACCAGCAGAGAGGCGTCCATCGACGGCCAGATGTACGGCAGCCAGGACAGACGGCGCAACCAACCTTGGTATTTAGGGGTGCACATGCGTGTGCCCCCCCAAAAATCGAGGCGTTGCTGCCCTCAGGATTTTCTCCTGGGCGACGGCGAGGCGTACATCGTGCATTGCTGCGCGCAGGCTGGCGCCGCCAGCTACCTGCTGGTGGAGACCCTGGAATGGGTGCGCGCGCCATGCCCAGGCGCGTCCCTGTGGCGGCCGCGCGGCGACGTCGCCGTGATGCCCGCCGAGCTGATCCCGCCAGCCTGGGCGGCTTATCGGCGACTACAGGACGATGGCTATGTGCTCGCCATCACGTGAAAAAGGAAAAAACGAGCGCATGCGAGAGCGGATATGCCGCTGGCGGATGCGCCGCCCTTCGATAGAGAGGTGCAGGAGGGAGGGGCGGATATGCCGCCGAAGAAGGAAGGCGGGCTCGGGGAGGGAAGGCGGCAGGAGGGAGCGGGGGCGGGCTGGCCGCCGACAACGAGGAGAGGAGAGGGGAGGCGGTGATGGCCGCCGAGGGGAGGCAGTTTGAAGAATAGTTGATCCCCCCCCCTCTCCCTCTCCCCCCTTCCCCTCCGCGCCCCGCAGGCGTCCTGAGGGCGGCTCGGCGCGTCGACCTGCGGCGCCCTGTCCTGAAAAACTGTTGTGTTGTAGTTGTTAAAACGTTTTTTTGTTTTTTTTTTTTCCGATACATAGCAATATCAAGAATAAACATGCAAAACATAGAAAGTTATGCAAATTTCGGGTTAACCGAATCGGACAGCCCACATCGACTTAGCTGACTTAGCTACTAAGTTGGGTATGTTGAGGTGTATGTATCGATATATCTTGGCAGTGGTACCCGATAGCTCAGTTGATAAGATGGATGGTTCTGTGAGTAGTATGTATGGTATGTTGTTGAATATACTTATCTAACAAAACGTTAAGTAGATGAATGCGAAGTTCGATATTTTATATATGTTGAATATGTGAGGTCAACTAGCATGAACCTACATACATCTTCGTTGAAACGATTTCATCGGATATACAACGCTCTTACCGCACTTACACCCACCCGACGATCAAAGTGGGGCCGGGGTCCACGAGAGGCCCCCGGAGCCTGGCCAATCACAGCCCCCAGGCGCGGCCGCGGGCAGGGCCTCGCATCGGGGAACGTCGATCGAGACTCGCTTCGCACCTATCCTGCTCAATCGGCCCTGATCTTCCAGCAGGGCTGCCAAATAGCCCCAGGACCTCGAC